GAAGGTATCGAGATCGACGTGGTTACGAGCGGCGGAGCATCTAAATTTAGTGGACAATGGCAGGGATACCGACGATGCGTCGGTGATTTCACCGTTATGCATCCGTGCGGGAGATGACATCGGTCCTTTTCCTTCGTGTTGTTTGTACACGGGCTTGATGTGAAAATGGGGTATATAGTGACTGTGGGATCTGACTGAATCAAGGGGCATCACATCAACTCACTCCATCAATCCATCAACACATAATACCTAATACCCATTTTACCAACTTTCCAAACAATCCATCACTCAAGATGAAATTCACCACCTCCGCCGTCCTTGCCTCCACCCTGGCCCTTGCCTCGGCGCGCGCCTGCCCTTCACCCCAGCCTCAGGCAGGAGAAGAAGGCCTCGACCCCAAGGCCTTCGGTGTCTTCCGCCTCTTCGCCATCATCATCGATGGCCCATACAGCCAAAACTCCACCGTCCAATTCTGGAAGAACGGCCTCTCCATAAACGTCAAGCAAGATGGCACTTGCCGGGACCCCAGCATCAACTACGCTTCCTTCAGCATCGCCGCCTCCGACGCCGACTACCAGCCAGGCGGTCTATTCCTCTACGGTGCCAACCCACCCATCCAAGCCTTTGTCGACCGCTCCGGAATGGGCCAGGGCATTCTCAAATTTAGCGAAGGTGTCAACCCGTCAACCCCCAGGAACGGCGAGCGCGCCCCTTGGGTCATCACAAAGGACCATACGCTCATGTTTGACAACGGCAACGGCGCTACTGGCTTCCAGGCCTGCACACAAGACCAAGGAAAGACATTCCAGGTCTGGTTGCAGGGTGTTGACCGCCCTGCTGGTCTCGAGGACTGCCACAAGTTCACTGCGCAGGTCTGGCCTGTGGATACTTCCGAGGCTGAGAACCCCAACCAGTGCACCTACACCTACACCCAGTAAGCTAGGGGTCAAGGCTGTTAATCGCGGAGTTGTAATGCAGAAGGAGATGGAGGGATGAGTGGTAGTCTTCTTGTATATAGAACATATTGTGGCGTAGATTTGGTCACTTACACATAAAAATACCACCCTCCTTGATGACAATGCAAGTCTTTCCAACCTGTGATGTGCTTTGGTTGTTCAAGATTACTTCGTAGTCTAGGTAGAGTTGAGATGTGGGGTGTAGGGGTGGCAGGTAGTGGCCAGTTATACAAAGCACAGCTAAGACAATTTGAGGGCTAGTTTACCTTGTGCCCCGTCATAGATCTACCACGGCATTCCCGATGTAAGTTACAGGGAGGCAGAGTACCAGGCTGTTGGATACCAACTGTATTCGTCTCTTGGCCTTGCTTGTAAGCTAGCAATACAAAGCTCCCCCAGCTGCTCAATTCACTTCATCTTGCATACTATCGTCCGCAACATTACTAACCATTGGGAAACAGTTACGCATCCCCGAGGATTAGTCCATGATTTTACGAACCTACGACTATGTCATTGCGACGTGTCAGCCATGACGTATCGCGTACTTTGATACTGGAAGACTGAAGTCAGAACCGATTACGACTGTCTTTACCATAGATACGCCGAGTCAAGACAAGGATATCCTATAGATTGGATTTCTAGGTCCCAGCATACCAAAGATACATAGCAAATACCCAAACCGTCCAGCCCACACCCTCCACGCCACCACGATGACCAACGCTCCCCATCGCAAATCAAGAAGAAAACGCTACGGTTCTCAAAGCCCAAAGTTCAAACCTCAGCCAGCATCACACCACGCACAACCACCAACCTGTCGTACAATACCCGCTCGCTTATAGCCAAAAGACCTTTGTAAAACGCGTGCAGCAGTAGTCTCTCGTATTCCCAAACTTATCCATACAGCTTCCACGTTATATATCTTCCCACATGCCTTAGCTCCATTAACCTGGCCTGCGGTCTAGATTGCTTCCGCCCTCAGACGACGGGAGTTGAGGCGCGTGTGCCGGATCGGCCGATGGGTCTGGTTGGTTGGTAGATGGCGTGTGGAGTAGCGGTGGTGGCAAGACTAGGGTGGGCTAGATGGGGCTTTGTGGAAAAAATGATGGCGAGGAAGAGGAAGAGAGAGAGAAAGCGAGTGCGATGGGGAAGTAAGGGGGTACGAATGCGATGGACGGTGGACGGGATGAGGTCAGAAGTACCTGCAAGTACCAACACGACAGCACCTCTACCTCTACCTCTCTCTCTGTGCCAAGGCCTTCGTATCCCCACCGTCAGGACAACAACTCGCGGAGAAAAATCCCCAGAATCCAGACCAACGCCACAAGGTCCGCCCTAGGTACCACTCCCAAACCTCCAACAACCTACGCCAACCGTATCCGCCACCCCAACAACAACAACCACTCCCCCATTAGTTCCACCAGCATAACAACGACGAAACCCGACAAATACCCTACGTCAGTCCACCACATTCCTCACCCCTAGATGAATCAATTAATTCCTATTCCGCTGCATACTTCCACAGCATCATGCCATGTACAGCTTTGCAAGAACACATGTGTGTCCACCAGTCCCGGGTAAATGGTTAGCGGAGGGCGGGCGCCCTAGCTAGCTAGCTGGGGTGCAGCTGCAGCTGCAGCAAGCACACCAACGTTTGTCAGGAGCGAGTGTAATCCAGGCACGGAATAAATTGAAACCAGGGTAAAATCAAGCTTATCCGCTTTTCTCTGTTGGGTACCACGCGAGCGAGCAAAAGACGGGTGCGTTTTGTGCGAGCTGAGCTGTGTGCTGTGTGTTGTGCGCGGAGCGGAGAGCGGTGTAGAACTTCCACCACCGACGAAAAGGAAAAGGAAAGGAAAGGAAGGGCAAGAAGATACCACAAAAGAAGGGAGGAACGGTAGATAACCATCTCAACACCCTACTTACCTACCTCTACTTGATTCCATTCCAAAAATAGCCACACCCACCAAAAAAACAAATAACAAATAACACCCCTCCAGCGACATACTCTCACTTTCAATTGATTACCGGCCGCGCCCGCAACAATTTATTACTCGTGCATATTCATGCTTTGCCGTGCCCCCCTTGCCGCTACACACGCTTACCTCGTGGCCCTCCCTCGTGGCGGACCCCCTCCGGAACACCCGCAGAGTGCAAAATAAACGATAATATAGTGTCATGTAGCCTAACGCACCCCATTTACTTACAGTCGTTGGGTCGCGCTATCTGGCCATGTGGTTGTTATGCGCGGGGCGAAAGTGAAGGAAAAAACCCAGCAGTAATGCATGACAACACAAGCCATGGTAAATGCAAGGGGGGCTTATAAAGTAAATGTACCGTGCGTTGCCGTGCGCGTGTTGTCCGTGGGTGGTGGTTTTGTGGCGTGCATCTAGGGCGACCCTTAAACCACCCCAGCCGGGTTTTTTGCTTGTCATGGGCTTGTTTTGCGTAGGTTGTGGGTTGGTTAAGTAGGAGGGGTGGGGCGCTGTCGGTCGTCTGTTTTTTTCCTGACATCGCCGCAACTTTTGTGTTTTGTTTTGTGACCATCGCTGGATACCATAACTACGGGATTTTTTGGTAGATCTTTTGGATTGCTGTTGGTGTTTGATTGAGAAAGATTGTTGATTGATTGTTGGAATTCGTTGAGGAGTACTCTTCGTTGGTACTTACAAACAAGCGGGACTACGCATTCTACACATACCTACCTACCTACCGTACCTACCTACCGTACCTGCCTACACACGCGCGCGCCGCACACACGAATACGAGGACTCCACCTACCTACCTACCAACCAATACACCACTCCCCTCCAACCAAAATACACCCAGCCAACCCCTCCAAAAATGAAGTTCCACTCCATCCTCGCCCTCGCCTTCGCAAGCGTAGCAATCGCATCCCCAGCCGTGGTACGTACCCTTCCTGCTTACCTTCCCACCTCCAACTCCGCTTTCTCGCCGACAGCAACGCTAATACGGAAACGAATAGGCCAGTCTAGAACGCTCTGTAAAAGAGGTTCGCAACCCTGCGGGAAATATTGTGGCGCTTTCTTGCGTGGAGTGTCCTTGTAATGGGTTCTTGGGCACTTGTACTTGTGTAAGTTTTTTAGTTGTTTTTTGGGGTGGTGGTGATGGTGGGAGTTTGCGGTGTGGAGAGAGGGAGTGGGGTGGATGGAACTTTATGAGGGAGGGGCTAACGTTGATTACAGATACCGAATGGATGCTGCTGCAAGTAGATGGTGATGCAGAGGAGGATGAGATGAGATGGAATGAGATGGGTGTTGGAGTTGTTTTGGTTGATTCGTATACAGGCATGGCGGAATACTGTTTATTAGGTTTGTTTCGTGTTTGTTTTGAGTCGCAGTGGACTGGAAGAAGAGGGCGGATGAATGGATGAACATGTTGGCCTATTATTCTCTTGAACAAAAAAAAAGTCCAGACAAACAAACATCTAGTCACACCCATACTTCCAATACTCACTTCACCCCCTCTTCTCCGCCTCCTCCCTCTCCTCCTCCCCCCTAATCCACCTGCGAAACCCAATCGTCATAACCCCGCCAATCGCCACCTGAAACGCCTGAAAAATGATTGCTGGTATCTGCATCTTACTCTGATCCAGCGGATCAACATCAACATACATGACCGACGTAAGCGGCACAACCATAGCCAGCGCCTTTGCCGGACAGCAATAACAACACGCGATAACATCCTTCTTCTCCAGCCACATCGTCGCAGCCGTGAAGCAGATAGCTAGCCAAACCAAATACAGCGCAACCGTGATGAATATGATAAACACAATATTCGACCCTTTAACCGCGTGAAACGCGCCCTCTGAAAACGCCTGATCAAACGTCTGCCACACCATCGTCAGCAACGCCAGACTCGACAACTTGATCAATTTCCACTCCAAAAAAACTTTCTTCGTGACTTTCGGCCACAGCCACTGCACAACCTGACCCAGCAGCATGGGCAAAAAAACCGAAAGGCCCAACTGCATAAACACACGTTTATAAATCCCCGCATACCCCGCCGCGCCCCCTCGCTGCGACAACACCTCACCATACCACGGCCCGGTGGCAAGCCACATCTGCAGAATCACCGGCGTAAGAAACGGACACAGAAACTGTCCAATCACACTCTGCACCACCGTCAACGCCGCATTGCCATGAGCCTGCCTCGTCATGACAACATTGCTTGACATAGTCGTTGGAGCACTACCAACAAACAACAACCCGATCAACAGCCATGGGTCCATGAAAGCGCGGTTCGTCGCACACGCGCTGACGATTGCAAAGGTGGCGGCCGAGCAGACGAGGTAGCATTGCAGTTGGACGAAGAGGTGGAGTTTCCAGCGCTTGTAGTTTGCGAGCAGCAGGGCTGTGTCGAGGGTGCAGCCGTTGATGAAGAATATGATGGAGACGGCGAGGTAGGTTATGGACGTTCGTTTTGTGTGTTGGCGGGAGCGGGGGACTTGGATTTGAGAGGAGAGGAGGATGACGAAGGACATGGCGAGGAGGAACCATTGGTCTTTGAGGAACCATTTTAGGATTGAGAGGGGTTTTGTTCGTTTGGGTGTTTTGGATTCGTCTTTCTTTGGTACGGCTTGGGAGCTTCCAGATTCCACGACTGGTGGATCAGTGGTGATGGCATCGGTATTTGTTGCTTCTGCGATTTGATCTTCCGCGCTCTCTTTAGAAATTGTATTCGATGAAACGTCCGTGTCTTGCATATCTGCTTTGAAATTCATAATCTTTGCTCAACCATACATTCTGGCACACGGCTTTCTTGGCTTGATATGTGACTCTTCGGCAATATGCCCGACGCAACCATGTAGCCGATTAAGCGTAGCTTGACGCGGGGCGCCTATCCCCATGACGCAGGGACGGGCGAACCCGGATCGACGGAGGAAGGCCCATGCCGAAGTAAACATGCGTATCGTCTTGTCCATGCTCGCACGATACAAAGAATCCAAGGCTGAACCTGAGGCTAACAGTCAGCGACGAGTGAATACGAGCATGAGGGGCCACCATTAGGTAAGCGCCACTCAAACCAGCACCCCTCGCCCTGTCACTCGCCTTCACCCATCATCCCCAAACAGCCCTCGGAACCAACCCTTACCTCCCCATATAACCGCCCCTGATATCCCGTAATGACGGCGCCTACATCCCCCGACGACGACCAAAACAGAAAGCGCATCTGGGCGCGCGTATACAAGCAACTCCTCCAACACGCCATCCCCGATGCGCGCTTCAACTACGACTTCATGTGCTTCACGCCCGACTTCCGGGGCTCAGCTTCCGCCATCGACCGCCTAGTCGCGCTGCCATGCTACAAAGCCGCCTCTACCATACTCGTCACGCCGGACAATAGTCTCGAGCGGTTGCGCATGCAGGCGTTGAAAGATGGGAAGAGGGTGCTGGTTGCCACGTATAGGCTACGCAGGGGCTTTGTTTTATTACACCCCGCGCGCATAGAGCAGAGTAAATACGATATGGCTGCGTGTCTCGATGGTATGGAGAAGCCTGGCATAGGCCGACCTGTCACGTTAGCGCAGATGCGGGATGAGAGTGTCAAGGTGGACTTGTGTGTAACTGGTGGACTGGTGTTTAATGCACAGGGTGTGACGATTTGGGAGGGACATAATTTGTTCGAGGTGCAGTGGGCCATGTTGCAGGATATGAAGATATTGCGGGAAAAAGCGCCCGTCGTCGCCGTCGCACATGGGTGTCAAGTGGTTGACGAAGTTGAACTCGGCGCGGAGAAGGTTACGTCGGATATACAGGGTGAGGTACAGAGCGATTGGGTGGTAACACCAGACGCGACGGTCGAGATAGCTGCGGCGAAGAAGCCTACCAGCGGTATCGATTTCGACACTGTAGATCCTGAGGGTTTGCTCAACATACCGCCGCTGCAAGAGCTGCGAGGGATCCGTATGATGGAGCAGATCATGCAGCGGGATGGCTTTGTCTCGAAAGAAGAGAAGCCGGAAGCGGCACCAACTGAGGATGAGCAGCTGGGCATCAGTATAGTAGAGAAGTTGATGCAAAGCTTCAAGTCGTAGAAACAGCCTAGTATCTCTGCGAGGTAGGTCAGCACCATGCATCGAACTCGACCCACGTTTAACTTGGGGTATACTCGCTAGCCACATGTACCAAAAACATGCATGGCACGGTCGATCATCCACTCTTCGATCAACATATAACCCTTTGTTAAGTCATCCCAGCCCCGGATACCCTCACAATCGTAGTCTTATCACATGTCAATCCCATACATACTATACCTCTCCGCCTCAATCTCTTACACACTACCCCGTACATACGTTTATCCAGATACTCTGATCTGGCAGAGTATCTGGACATTCGGACTCTAAACTGTCCGTAACGCCACGCTTAAACCGAGCGCTCCGCATATGGACAATGCTTCCTGGTTCCAGAAGGCCATCGAAGGCTCTGCCCTGACTCCAGCGACGAAGAGTCATGGACATGAAAAAGACACCCAGTGACATTTGGGGTAGTTTGGAGCGAGGGCCATGAGACATGCTAGTCAGACGGGCTCGTATTTTTATACCGCAACTTACCGGTCAGCGCATCGTATTTGTACCACATACTAGGTAAATGATTCAGTAGTCCAACCTCACCCAAGGAATTTTCTTTTGCTTGGCCGATTCAAAGTTTGCAATGACATCTGCATCCCCAACTACTGGTGTTTGCGCAATCCCAACGAACGGAATTGACCGTTCGCGACCAGGAATCTGGGCTTCAGCGCACATGTCCTGAACGCTTTGTAAAACGGTGTCGGTTGGAAACTCGCGATATTTTCTTGAGTCAGACTGAAAAACGCCGACCGCTTCTTCTCGCAAGCACCGCCATTCCGGCCGTAATTTTTCGTCCTTGGGTTGGGTAAACTGTACAGTCAGTCGTAACGCAGGGCGGGCTACAAATATTATGTATACAGTATTGTACCTGCATAAGTCCCTAATGTACACTTACGTACGTAAACACCCCTGCATATACGTCCCCCACAGCATACATACACGAAACATAAAATCCCGCCGCGCCCTCGTGGCACAGTCATCTTTACCGTTGACTCGGCGCTTTTACGTCGCCTGTCCTTTGTCGCTTCGAAGCATCAGATAGATAAATATATCCCAGAACCCAGCTACCGAGTCGGCAGTCAATCGGTCCGTTAAGGTATTGCGGAGATTTCTTGGGTTGCGATAATTGGGGGCGGGTGTGTCCGGTTGGGAGGGGGGTCTGAGATAAGTTGTGATTTGCGGTGATGGCTGGGGTTCGTTGACGAACACATGCAGCATGGAGAATTGCATTGCGATGGACAAGGGATATGATAAGGTACCTTGCAGGCTTGCACACCACATGGAGTTGCGGTGAAGATGGCGATACGAGGGACCGTGTCTATGTGTAGTCCGACTTTGAGCCTATTGGCACCATGAGACGTAAGCATTCATGCCATATCTTACTCTCCCTCGCGTCGATTCCCATGTGCAATATACCAGTGAGACAGCGACATCCATCGTCGGATCTATGCTTACTTTTGTTGGCATGAGCATTGTACTAATCGAGGACAAGATATGACAGTGATCAGCGTTGAGCAAGGCTGACCAAAATAGCGACTCGCAACCGACGGTCGACATGTCCTTGTTTTGTAGTGGTTGGCCACAGCTTGGACAGCCCTCAGACAACGGCCGGTATTAGAAGTGCCTGAAACCCGAAAGAATGAATGCAATCGCGGTGTCTAGAGTTTCAGATACGATCTCGATGGCCTACAATTAGCCTTTGACTAGGTTATGATTCAGTCGGGAACACTGTCATTGTAGAAGAAAAAACTCTTTTGGCGTGAAGCCTAGAATCCACGAGTGTTTCGACACTCACTGGCTAGATGTCATCGACGGCATAGTCGACGCGCCATTTTGTCTGGAATTTGAGTTGTTGGCGCTACGGAGTACTGGCCTGCGCCACTGGTGGCTGTTAGTGACAAGATGGCGTACTCCAGGGCCTACGGAACCTCCCAATACCAGGACATGATGTATTGGGCAACAAACATGTCGCGGCCAGGCGGCTTGATGGTGATATCTAACTGCCGAAGTGGGGAGCTCCAAAGGATCCTTTGTCGCACCTCACTCCGCGGCATTGGAATCATCTCAATTACCCCTAAGAGTGTCGATTGACTTCCAAGATTCTGATATACCTGGGTATACTCGCCTCTCGAGGAAGAATTTGATTTAGGATGCTGACGCTGACCCGCACCTGGCCAGAAAGTTACCAGACGGGAAGGACGTTAAGTGGTCGTCAGGAGACATGGACGAAGTCGGGTAGCCTACAGGCGGGAATTAAACCTTAGCCGGCTTTGCAGCGAAGATCCCGGACTTAAGAGCGTGGCTCATAATGCCTGTGACGGTCATGCCGCCATTTTGACTTTCAAAAGTCGCTTAGGCGTACGCTGGGCGCGTCGTAAAACCAGATTGCACCCTGCTGGATTGGTGAATGATCGTCTATTAAGCGCAACTCTTTCTACCTTGAGCGACGTCCACGTATCGTCACTCGAAGTACGTCATGGCATATTTACTGTAGTCGGCATCGGACCGGAGCCTATGTTTCAATTGCGAACTATGAGTTCTTCGTGAGACACGTGGAGCAGCCGGGAACAGGTACGTAGACCAAGTGCCGATGCTGTGAGCGAGTCAAGTAGCCTCTTCGATAAGCATGGTGAAACCAGGTTCTGCAAAACTTTGGCCGAGGCACCCGCTGCCTACCAGCTCGGGCAACGTGTCTGACATTGCTTTTCAACACCTCTCGGTCATGGCACCTGTCGTGGCACACTTGCAGGGGCGTAGTGAAGTTATCAATCCCGCGAGCATGGAAGTATGGATCCACAGAACCGCTCCGGGTAGCGGTTGCAAGGTCCCGCTTCTAGGTCTGCAGAGCATTGCCTTTTTCAGCTTTCCTGCAGGAGAATGCAGGAGAGTGCAGAGCGTTGAAGTCGTGAAACGGCACGGTTAAAGAGAATGCAGGATGATGTGCAGAAGACGGCATCATCGGAGCATGTCTCCAAGGCCTCTTTGGGTGGTAAAAGAGGGTTTGGATACAGTCGTAGCAGTCCATGTGTGTTGTAGCTAGCGTAGGAGCGGATAGCACGGAGGAAAGCGGATGATGCAACAAGGTAGAAAGGATTTTCCGGTGACTAAGCACAAAGTCGCCTAGTTTGCACGTGGATGAAGCCACGACAATCCAAGTCCATTTCGGGAGACTTGCGTCTGGCTGCCCTGTGCCCTCGAAAAGCACGACATGCAGGATTCCTATGCTCCACAGACGCCTCTCAATGTCTGCTGCGAGTCGGCTTGGAGCGTCTCAGGTACCTGCGAGATGTGCCGTGCTTAGCCAAGTGCAGCTGCAGTCACTGCCGTTGGCATGCGCTGATCTCCTGCACCTTGCTTACCGCCTCAGCTCGCCGTGACTGGATAATCTCGTTTGCGGGTGCGGTGACATTGTCGAGGCCTTCAAGGCAGACCCGGATTGCGGTCCTACGCATGAACCAATTCGACAAACGCAGTTTGCTCGTGGCCTGAGCCCCACGGGACGACGACCGTCTTGGTCATGTCCTCCCCTGAAACGGGCCTGACCCTGGATCTGGTATTGAGTACCCGCGCGTAGGACCCACATCACTCGTGGCGGAATCCATTATGCATTACCCTGTAGCTCCATTTGCTGCTTCGGCAAAAGAGTCGAGCTACGTAAAAGAACGTAGACCCCCCAAACACCACGTTCGGGCTGATCCTGGGGCTCTTTCTCGCCGGAGCCCGATTGCTTCGACAACTTCATCACCATGGCTGTTCCAAACCGTGGTCCCGAGCTGTTCGCCGTCAACGTTGCCTTTGTTACTACTGCCATACTGGCCTGCTTGCTGCGGTGTTATGTGCGTATCTTCATGGTCAAGGCATTTGGCCGAGATGACTGGTTGATGGTAGTCGCCACAGTGAGTATACTGGAATATCATATTTGAGCATCTAAGGTTGACGCTGGCCAGTTATTCTTCATGTCCTATACAACATCGTCAACTATTGGCATACATTATGGAACCGGACAACACCACAAGGACTTGTCGATTGAAAACGTACAAAAGGCGAAGCATGCCTGGTACTTTTGCTACCTGTTTTATGCCGTATCTATGATATGCTCCAAACTATCCATTGGTTTCCTGCTCTTACGAATCAGTATCCGCAAGCTTCACACATGGTAGGAGTCCCCTGGAGTTATGAAAACCATAAGCTTATCGTTACAGGATCATTATCACAGCCATGTTTGTGTCAGTCGTTGCTGGTGGAACATTCTTCTTCGTCTGCCTCTTCCAGTGCTACCCCATTTCCTTCATGTGGGACCGAACTTCACAACAGGGCAAATGCGTCGACAATACAGTCATTACCGCCCTTGGCTACGTCTACAGCGTCTTCAGCATCATATCCGACTTTACCTTTGCCATCATTCCCGGCTTCTTGGTATGGCACTTGCAACTAAAGAGGAGGACCAAGGTCGCTTTGATTCCTTTGATCACCATGGGTTGCATCGCAAGTGCCGCCGTCATCGCACGTTTGCCTTTTGTCCACTACTTCAACTCGCCAGACTTTCTTTGTAAGTCTTTTCAATCTCCCGCCGTATACATTTCTAATCCAAACAGGGTCTACTCTTGACATCGCCATCTGGTCAACTGTTGAACAAGGTCTTGCCATTACTGCCGGCAGCCTCGCAACACTCCGTCCACTCTTCTTCATAGCTATGCATAAGCTCGGTCTCTCCACCCGCCCAACCGGCTACCGTCCCTCAGCCTACGGCATGTCAGCCCCGCTACCCAACAAAGGGACCTCCGGCATGGGATCCAAAGCCGACAAACTCCGCCCCGACATGTACAAGCTCTCCGCCACCGTCCAAACACGCACTTCAGATGACCAACCCCTGGAGCCCAAATCGAAATCCCCACACTGGTTCGACCACCCCAGCACCTCGCAATCGAAAAAAGGAACAGCCAACGACACTTCAGATAACGACAGCGACAACAGCCTTCGCATCAAGAGCGCGCGCAGCAGTGCCGAGGAACAATTCCAAAACGGCATCATGGTATCGAAATCTTTCTACATCACGGACGAGGAAAGGGGGTCAGTATTGTCTGCGCCCTACAGGTGATTAATTGCCATACAAGAATACCCTGGTGATCTAAACTTTCCACGACGTCAGGACCAATTCCGGTTCCGACACACTGGATCGAACTCGTCGGCTACATACTCCGCTCAGCGAGTAAAACGCTCCCCAGCCTAGGACACTCCCACACACACACAAACAAACGAACGCCACACACGCCGGATGGCTGCCTAACTCGTTTGTTTGCCAGAATACGCCCTGTGCTGCAACCTTTGGGCTTTTGTTCGGATACAAGCATCCGACTCGAAGGATGGGAAGTGGAAAAAAGCAAATCCGCACGCAGCACCCACTACGTACGTATACCGATTGCCGACCGGAAAAGGCAAACAACATCCCTCCCATTTCCCATTCTAAATGCCGCTTGTCCTTGAAGAGACGATGGGTGCATGCGGACTCCACAGCACAGCTTCACATAGATGTGCTTGGCTGCATGAGGGGATGAGGGGATGAGAGTGGAGGAACACGACACGACATCATTTTTCCTTTTTGAATCCTTTGATATAATTATACCTATACCTATACCCCACCTTTGCATCGCCATCTGCATCGGCATTTAGATGCGATTGCGATAGTTAGTTTACTGTAGATAATTTTAAAAATGTAATAAATATTGAGAAGCTGGCACTATTAGTAGTAGTATGACTACCTAATAGAGCGCTCTCTAAGGCACAACGGTAGTGGTGGTACGGATTCGTATTGTATTGACTAAGGAGCTATTCACACGTTCGTAGATCCGTGTTGCGTGCAGCTGCGTCCAAGCTCCCCGCTAGGACCCACCTGCACGTGTCACCAATCATGTGACTACTCCTCCGCTTGATACCACCAAGTCACTTACGGACTGTATTCTCAACAATAAACAAATAAAACAATCATGTCATATCGCCTTCTTGTTGCGAACTATAATCCACTATGTCCGCACTTCCACTACCAGTACAAAAGGCCAACCACATAAGAAGCATGCGCACACAAGTGCGTTAACACCACCACTTCTGCCCTAAAGACGCTTACCATACCTTCGGCATCCCCGTCATATCCAACCACCTGGATAAATCCCCTAGTCCTGTGCTGTTTCTCTTTTTTTCCCTACCAGCTGCGTAGCTTATTGCACGACTCACGGCTCACGCTACTGCTACCGAGTCTAACTGCCGTAGCTAATCCCACAACCCACGGATTTGGAATACAAGAACCTTGTTTAGTAGTGGGGATGGTAGATGGGGGGGAGGTGGCTGTGGGTATAGCTTAGTTCTGGGTGTGGCTGTGGCTGTGACTCTTGGTGAAGATAAGAATGGGAATATGGTTGTGTAGCCTGGAGATTGAGATGATAAACAGCGGGAGATCAACCTGAAAAAGCAACTTCGCAAATGCGCGAATGCGAAAACAACAACAAACCAGAAACGAAACATTCCCATCGGTAACTAATCGGAATATAAACTCGGTTCTCGTATTTTAGAAATATCGACCCCTGCCCTGCCCTGCCTTTCATCCCACCCACATACAAGAACAATGTTTTCCGCCTTCCCACCTAGGTACGCCTGTCCTGTTCCCTACCAGCCACCAAGACAGAAAAGTCTAGAAGAAAGAGGACCAGCAGCGAAACATAGCTAGGCTAGTCGAGCCGAGTACAAAACAGCGAGGAAAAACTGCCGAGTTAAGCCGAGATGATGGTAATTGCAAATTGTAGATTGCGTGATTCTGATTCAGAAAAGTGGTAGGGGAAGAGAAGAGAGTGGGGAGGAGCAAGCAGAGTGGAGTTGTAGGGTAGGGAACATGACACATGCAGTGAGCTTTGCAGGGGTGGGTATGAGTCATGAGTTCTGGTGGATGCTAGGTTCAGGTTTGTGATTTGAGGGTAAGGGTGTATAAGGGCAAGAGCAGGGTCGATAATAAATACATGCATGATTTACAGTTATGTATCATGTGAAATCTCAATTTTTGCATCTTGCGTCTACTTTCGAGATTGATGAATCTACATAAAACCCCTACTCCACACGCCTTTTCGGGGAAATACCTAGGTAGATGGGATTGATGTTTCCAAGACCAATGCTTCAACTACAGCACGAGCAGTCGTTACAGCTAGAGTCGCGGATTGGCGGTGGTGCACTACAAGTTTTCTGCGGTGTATATGGCAGTGTCATTGTAGGAGGCGCGGGGACGTTGAGTGTTGTTGATTTAACCAGGACGGGGATAGCGGAGCCGGTACTTAAGCTGAAGGGGCGATGACCTAGGACTGATGCTTGTGTCAGTACATCTGCCCTCGTCTATGTGTCAAATTTTGATAATGGGCTCGGAGACAGAAACAAAGTGCAAACATACCCCTCAACAAACTCGCAATCTCCCCCGAATGCGATGTAACGGAGATAACCACACTCCCATCACTACTGACAATATCATCAAGAACGGCTTTAGAACGAGCGTCTTGGTTGACTTGTGGTTCAGCAAACAACTTCGTCCAAAACGGATCCTCCTCCACAAACCCCTCTTCAAACCTGTACCCGGGGAAATTCTCCCTGATAAACGTTTTACTACGCCTCCGATCACAAGTATGCGCGCTAATCCCTTCACGCAGAAACTCCTTGACAACAGGCACAAAACGCGTATTGCGCGGTAACGCCACGCCTTCAAACGTCAATCTAGCCGTGTCAAGACAGCGGTACAACGGGCTTGTGTAAAACGTCTGCGGCGGAGAAATCTTCTCATGCACGATAAGCTGGTTCCAAAACGCCTTCACGCGGAGTGCTTGTCGCTTCCCCGTCTCGGTGAGTTTGGCATCGGCCCATGTGACGGTGGCGTTGCCGTCGCGTTCAGACCAGTAGCAGTTCCAGGCCGGGGTGCCAAAGTACGACTCGGCGGCGTTGTGGAAGCCCTCGCCGTGGCGGCCGAGGAAGAAGAGTTTGTAGTGCTCATTCTTTGGGGCTTGGCGGTTCAGTGTGGTGATGTAGTGGGATAGACGTTGCCATTGGGTTGAGTGGGTTTGGTTGGGGCAGGAGGAGTCGCTGGGGTAGGGGCGGTTGATTAGGCCGAAGTTTGTGGTGGTGAAGTTGAAGGTCGAGGCGTTTGTAGCCGGATCGTCTTGTTGAAAGATACCGGGTATAACGGTGTGGGTTATGGTTTTGGGGTGGTGCTGTGCTGTGACTGAGGATGCTGTGGCTAGGAGAGTGTAGAGGAGGGATGAGAAGAGCATGGTTGGTGATTAGGGATTGGATCACTGGCACATAACATGAACAACGATTCTCTGGGTTCTTTAAGAACTCCTTGAGGCTCGATGTCATTGCACCTGTCGTACCACACACATGGGAAGTATGCATGGTGATGCTGCTCGTAGCCAATCAAAGTAGAACGTGATCCGGCAGCGTTACCATGCAGGGCTAAGGCGCGGAGGGGGACTGACACCTTCCTGTACCGTCTGTGACTAAGAAGAACTAATGATGGGGTGCAGAAGATCTGAGGCTTGACAGGGAAGAGGCGTGGTCTGCCATGGGGATGTGATTGGGAAGTAAATTGGTTCAACGCTAATGTTGCCGCACATGCAGTACGAGTGCGCCGCATAGTCGGTCCATGGTTATCAAGAGCTCAACTGGGAAGAGGCAATTTGATGGTGGGAGGTGTGAAATCAGACGTTGAGGTGCTGGCAGGCAAGATGTGAAAGATGCAGAGTGGTGTCATGGAAATACGGTCAGACGACCATCTAACACATAACACCCAACTGCATTTCCTGATCTAAGTAGACATGAAATGTGGTAGACTATATTCAATTGCCTTAACCAGCAAGTGCGTGTAGTAAGGCGGTGGTGATTGACTATACCTGCCAAGCCACCAGCCACACCTGTCATGCGGTGAGCGGCGCGGGTCCACAAAAAATGTCGAAGCTGTCGCGAAGCATCTGCTCTAACTTACTCTGCCAACATCCAAACGCCAACATGTTTGAGAATTTATGCGCGCTTCCAGTCGATCACGACATCTTCGTGCAGGCGATACACCCAGAAGAGCCAATTGTAGCTGTTGGACTCGCAAGTGGCGAAGTACACACTTACAGGCTGCCTCCTGGTGTGAGCGACGATGATGGCGACGATTCAACTCTCGCGTCGGTAAAGGGCTTTGGGACTATAGACCAAGTCTGGCGCACCAGGAGACACAAGGGCAGCTGCCGAACACTTGGTTACAGCTTAGATGGCGCGTCATTGTACTCTGCTGGCACGGATGGCATCGTCAAAGTCGCAGACTGCATGACGGGCCAGGTCACCGCCAAAATCGCCATACCCCTAGACCCGTGAGCTTTTCTCTACAAAAATTGATAATATCACGTGCTGATCAAGCAGCTCAAATGGTGGCATCGATGCGCCCACACTCGTTCACGCCCTCTCTCCGCAATCGCTCATTCTCACCACCGATTCCGGCGCGCTGCACATTTACGATATCAGGAACCTCAAAGGCGGCGAAAAGGTGTCGCTGAAACCCGAGAATACGCACCGTCCACACGACGACTACGTCTCTTCCCTTACACCTCTACCACCGACGAAAAACAGTACTAGTGGCTTCAGCAAGCAATGGGTTACAACAGGCGGCAGTACACTGGCTGTAACAGATATCCGGCGAGGAGTCATGGTCCGTAGCGAGGATCAAGAGGAGGAGCTTCTCTGCTCAGTCATTGTCACTGGTCTGCCGAAGAAGGGCTCGAGCGTGGGTGAAAAGGTCATTGTCGGTGCAGGCAACGGTGTCCTTACCCTCTGGGAGCGTGGAGTATGGGATGATCAAGACGAGCGCATCATTGTCGACCGTTCCAAGGGCGGCGGCGAGAGTCTAGACTCGATGACTGTGGTGCCTGATGGAGTTGGAGCGAGTGGGAAGCATGTCGCAGTTGGGTTGGGCAACGGTGGGATTCGCTTTGCCAAGATTGGATCCAACAAGATCGTCGCAGAACTCAAGCACGATGAGTTATCTCAAGAGAGTGTCATTGGACTAGGTTTCGACGTCACCGGTAGGATGATCAGTAGCGGCGGAAAGACTGTCAAAGTGTGGGGTGAGCAAACCTGGCAAGACGTTGATGAAGAGGAGGCAGAGGACACGACCAACGGCAAGCGGGAGCATGAGAGTGATGATAGCGACGACAGCGATGAGGACATGGATGATAGCAGTGAAGAGGACGAGCCCAAGCAGAAGCGCAAGAAGCGTAAGAGGAACAAGGGCAAGCAGGCAAAGGGGCACGGCATCTTGCAATTCTCAGGACTAGACTAGTCGCTTGCAGATGACCATCAGCTGCAAGAAGGGTTAGTCTTGGGAACATGTTTGATAGTTCATACAGGTATGCCAAAAGCAACAGAGACCTCGTGCGGCATGATTAACGAGAACAGAATAATAATCAAGAGATTTCGACACACTTGTCGTTTTAGAAACCGTCCACTATCTTTCCCTTTTGGCCCCACCTAGTTTGGACTAGTCCCATATCGTCTGTCGTACCAGCTGAAACTCGCAACCTCACCTTTTCCCTCCTTGCATCACCCAATTCCATGGCTAACCCACAGAAATCTTATCAACACATCGTGCATGCGTCGACATGTCCCTGTGCGACAAATGTGCAAGGTGCGATGCCATCCACCCGACTCCACTGTCGCTTACTAATTTGTAAGCACCAGGTGACTGCAATTGCTTCTACTCTGCACTTTCAAAGACTTCGATATTCAAAATTGCTACCACCGAAGGACCTACTGGTGAAGATGGCCACTTTACTGAGATTGACCAAGCTCAAGTCAGAGAATTTGTGGCTGAAAAAAAACTTGAATTCGGCGAAAGAGGCTTGCAAGCGTCCCCAGTGCAAGTCTATCAACCACTCCTGGCTGGTGAAATTCGTGTACTAGAATTACACTCCGGGGAATCAGGAAGCCCTCTTCAGGGGAGCTTGCATACAGTCAGCATCGACTTTTCGTATCCCACCAGACCATATGAGTATGGCTTGACCAGGGACACTAACCATGCTGTATCGCTCGTAACTGAACAGCCGGTCTGGTTTACTGCGCTCAGTTATGTTTGGGGCGCTAATCCTATATTCGACCAGACCATCACCTCCGAGCATGGTCCGATCACTATTACAAGAAGCCTCGCGGCTGCTTTGCGAGAACTGCGCTCAGAACATGATAGTGTGTATCTTTGGATCGACCAGATTTGTATCAATCAGCCAGATAACGAAGAGAAGGCGATGCAAATTCCGTTGATGGACAAGATATATACGCGTGCCACCAACACTGTCATCTGGCTAGGCGATGATGACGGAGAGGATCCGCTCAAGGCCTTGGACTTGATGGAGACGATTTACGCTCGGCTGCAGGGCACCGACGCGCAAGTAACACCAGATGAATTTAAGCGACTGGACTTCCCGCCTGCCGAAGACCGAGCATGGTGGGCTATACGTCAATTCCTCCGACGCCCATGGTTTGGTAGACTGTGGACGATCCAAGAAGCAGTTCTCTCGCGAAACCTGTTTATCAAGTGTGGTCAGGCGGTAATATCCTGGGTAGATTTCCACGCCTGGTGCGGCTGCTTAGTAGAAACTGGGTTACTCCGTTGGCTGAAGGGAAATGTGGGATTGGATGCTGAGTATGGAAGGATACAGCCTGGAATCCTACCATCACCACAAGGGGCAGCGGTTGTACTCTCAATCTCAGCAGAACGCCTAAACATCATGAACTTCACTCACCAAGAGTCCTTGCTGAATATTCTGGTAGCCACACGCTACGCCAACGCGACGGAGCCAAAGGACAAAATTTATGGTGTACTTGGTATCGCAAGCCTGGACATTGTGCCGGACTATTCCGAGAAGACTTCTGCCAGACAGGTTTATCTCCAAGCATGTCACACGCAGCTTCCTTTTTTGGTCTACGAATTACTCAGCTGCGTTGATCACGACACACCACTTCCGATATCGTGGGTACCAGACTGGAGCACTCAACGCGTAACAGCTGCTTTGGGCTACTCGACAAAAGCCTGGACCGTGTATCGCGCCGGTGGACAAATTGCAGCGGGACAACAGCCACCCAAAGTTGTGGTTAGTAATGACAAGAAAGAGATAACGCTTTCCGGAAAGGTTTTCGACACAATCACAACCTTGGGTGAAATCTACCAAGACCCAACTCTAGACATCGAAACCCCACAACAGAATAACCAGATCCTAGCATCCTACGCAAAAATCGCCCTTGATGCCAGCACCACACACTCGTACCCAATACACGACACATCAATCTACGACGCCTTCTTCACCACCGTACTAGCCGGAAGAGACGGCTCCGGCACCTCAGCCCCCACACCCAACCACAGCGAAGTCTTCAGTCTAATCCTCGACTGCACAACCGGTACAACGCCATCCCTCCCGGGTCAAACAATCAGTCCCCGCCGGCAAAGCGGACACTTTTCCCTCGATAATCTCAAGACGAAGAAAAACGCAAAGATAAGACAGCCAGCCAAGACCCTAGAGGACTTGCGGGTAGCGTTCCGGGCCGCCATGACGATGCGCCGGTTTGCGGTTACTGGGAGGGGTTATTTTGCGCTGGTGCCGAGGGGGGCACGGGTGGGTGATGAGATTGCCGTGTTTGATAGGGCTTGTGTGGCTTTTGTTGTTAGGAGGGAGAGGGGGGTTGGTGGTAGGGAGGGTAGGAGGTTTGAGATTGTGGGGGAGGCGTATGTGCACGGGGTTATGAGGGGGGAGGTTTGGGGTATGGGGGAGGTGGGGGTTGATGATGTTGTGCTTTATTGAAAACAGTACGAAACAGATGTACTAGGTTTTTTGACAAAGGTGAATGTTGAAAAAGTATAGAACGGAACAGCCACCCTTCGGCGCTCTAGGCTACTAACCAAGAAATCCCTCATCTAGATCTTCTACTCCAAATATCACGCACAATATTTGGATGGAAACTTGAACGAGGCTGAGGAGGCGTACGTACACATACTCTTACTACCCGCCCGTACCACAAACCCTCTACTTACACCCGCAGCACCACCGACCCAAAAACCCACCTCACGGCAATACTTACCGCTAGCGGCACCAAGTCAACCAGGTCACAAGCAACGCGCCTTCATATAATCTGCACTATAAATGCCCGCGAGGTCCCCGCGTGGCTTGGCTGTAGTAATCTACACGCGACCAAGCCATTGGCTAGCCGCACGCTCGCTTAGCCAAGGTTCGTCACGCCTTTTTATATTGCTTAATATAATGCTTGTCACGACTTTCATACTAGCACGGCGGTGCGGCTTCCGCAGAGAGGTTGTAGGTTAGGCTTTGGGTTTGCGATACTGGATAGAGGATGGTTGGTGGGAAAGTGCGGTTAGCGTTGCGTAGGATGGCTAACGGAAACGCATCATAAGACGTGTGAAGTGTATATTTCAAACCCTGGGTTTGGGTCGAGGAAAAGATGGGGTAAGGGGAATGGAGTTTATAAAGAGTGGGCTGCTGGGACGTGGTTTCTGAGATATATATTTCCACACGCAGAAATACTCATATCAACTACCCGACAAAATGAAACTATCCACGCCCCTCGTCCTCGCCGTCGCCGCTTCTTCAGCATCCGCCCATACTATTTTCCTCAGTCTAAACGGCGGCGCAGTCGGCGACGGCGTCCGCGTCCCAACCTACGATGGCGTAAACACCCCCCCTTCCTCTCATAAACCCCCCACAAATCTAACCCCCCACCCCCAGCCCATCAACGACGTAACCTCCAACGACATCGTCTGTAACGGCGGCCCCAACCCGACTGCAAAAACCTCCACCGTAATAACCGTGCAAGCCGGCTCCAGCGCCACACTCCTCTGGCGCCACACACTCACCTCAGGCCCATCCGACGTAATCGACGCCTCGCACAAAGGCCCCGTGATGGCGTACCTGAAGAAAGTCAGCGACGCGAAGACGGACAGCGGCATCGGAGGCGGCTGGTTCAAGATTGCGCAGGATGCGTTTGATGGGAGTAAGTGGGGGGTTGATCGGTTGATTGCGAATCAGGGGAAACAGGTGGTTACGATTCCGAAGTGTATTGCTCCTGGGCAGTATCTGCTGAGGGGCGAGTTGATTGCGCTGCATTCTGCTAGTTCGAATCTTGGGGCGCAGTTTTATATGGTGAGTTTGAGTGGAGCGAGAACTGACTTGGTGCCGGGAGAGCGTAACTGTAGGAAAGGAAAAGACGGCGGCTGACGAGAAAATTAGGAGTGCGCACAAATCAACATCGTAGGCGCTTCTGCAGATAAGACGCCGGCGACTGTGTCTTTCCCTGGTGCTTATAAACAGAATGACGCTGGTATCTTGTATAATCTCTACTCGGGATCGAAGACTTACACGAGTCCTGGACCGGCTGTGTTTACTTGCTAGATGGAGTAGCATCTAGCATCTGTGTGAGTGATCGCGGGGTGGAAGGAGAGAGGAGACGTGGATGGAGAGTGCAGAGAAGCGGTTCATGTATATACTTCTTTAGACGAGACGAGACGAGATTAAAAGGAAACTCTACTTTCCACTCACCTTCGGACGAGAAACATGTCCAACACTTCCATGTGCATGTAACAGCAGAGTGTGTGACAAAACCGTCTACATCCACTACCCTTTAACTTTCACACATTTGACAAGACGCGGAATAAGGTACCACGCATCTCATTACTATACTTTGCAGCTCCTACGCCATGCCTAGCCCGATGCTACACGGCAATACCTATCACCCCTATCAACCGGGGCGACCAAAAAAAAGCTATATTCATACACGAAGAAAACCCCATCCGGCAATTTCCATAAACTCGAAAAATAAATAAATCTCATCTGCTAATACCCCGCCATAGCAAGCGCACTTCCAAAACCAAAACCAAAGACATCGAAACCCTCCTAACGTTTCCTCTTCTTCGCTTTTCCATCATCCTCATCATCCTCATGCGCAGCCTCCTTATCCTTCTTCGCAGCCTTCTTGTCCAACTCATCCCAGCTCTCACCCTCTGAGAACTCATCTTCTGAGCCCTCGTCGCTCATCTCCTCGGACGCATTCTCGTCAAAGTCGCTCTCGTCAGACGACTCATCTGAGATGGCGAGTTCGGATTCAGAGACTTCAAAGGCGGATTCTTCTTCCTCCTCGCCCTCGCCTTCGTCGTCGGTTTCGGTCGAGAGGAAGGACCAGCCGCCGTCGGCGAAGAATTGGTGCGGGTCCGATGTTACCGTCTTCATGATGGTGGCCCAGTTTAGGTTGAGCGGTCCTTCGCTGAAGGGTATGTCGACCGAGTCGAGCCAGTCCTTGACGGGGTCGAGTGACTCTACTGGGATGGTGTTGATGTGTACGGGAGGGCGGTTGTAATCTTTGAAGACGACTACCATGTCGAAGTTCCTCAGACCGAACTGCACACGTTCGAGATGGACGATTTCAATCTCGGATAGGGTGAGACAGGTGAAGGGAGGCTCGGTGAGCTGGACCAAGCAGTCGGTGGTCGGCTGGACGAGGACTGATGATCGCGATGGCACACCGTTGAAGCCGAGCTCTCGGTATGGGATATCAACGCTGACGTTCTCATTGCGCGCAGCATCGGCAATCTTCTCGGCAAAGTTCTTGAACTCCTTGTCGAGAGCCGCACGCCGCCTACGCTCCTCCTGTTCTTGCTCAAACTCCTCCTCGTCACCAAACTTGTGCCGACGCTTACGGTTACCCGTCTCGTCGAATTGCATCTCTGTGGCTTCTCGGACAAACTGGACATCCTTGGTCTTCTTCTTGCCAAGCATGATGGGGTTCTTGAGGTGTACGTGGATGATGACGATGAGCTCGTGTTGGGAGGGCTGGAAGAACAAGTGCTTCATGTTACTGAAAAGGACGTCGATCTTGGCCGAGTTGTTGCCATGGACATAGCGTAGACCGTTTTGGTGAATTTCGACACTTCCTGGGATACGCTTACCGTCCAGGGCCGGACGGATGAAGATGAGGTCGAGCATGTGAGGTTTGCGTGTCTTGAGCGGGATGAGTTTATCCTGCTCAACAACATCCTCCATTTGCTTCTTCTCAGTCTCCCGGCGTACGACATCCTTTTTCAGCTCTGTAATGTCCTTGGTAATCTGGTCAATGCGGTCTACATCGTGCGATTTGAACGTCAAACTGCGGATAAAGTGTGCGTTGGGGTCTTCAAACGGCTGATCGTCCTTGCGTCCGACACCCTGACCGGGGGACAGGAAGTTGATACGGAGCGATGTGAAGTCGGCTTCGGGGGTATGTGAAGCGTTCTTGATGGTGTGGATGTGGAAGGGTACGGGCCGGCCCATGATGGGGAGGAGAACCGTGAGGTTCTTCTTGTCGACGACAATCTCCAGATTGGCCACGGAGTTGGGGAACTGGTTGTCGCGTTTGTAAGACTCAAACTTTTTGAACTTCTTCTCTTCGGTGCCGTTCAGTGACTTGGCTCCTTCGCTGTACTGCTCCAGACCCTGTTCTTGCTTCTTGCTGTGCAGCTCCTTTTGATGTTGTCGTCGCTGCTCCTCCTTTTCGGCATCCTGGTTGGTGGTACGTTCGTGCCTTGTACGCGTCTTGGTGATGTTGGTCTGCGCGATCGCTGGACGCTCCTTCTTCACCTTGGGCTTTGCCTCCTCCTCCTCCTCGTCGAAGAAGAAGGAAACGGCGTCCAAGTCGGACGTGGTGTCTTTTGTGAAGACGGCGCAGTCGCCTTGACCCACGCGCACGGTATCTACCAGCACGAGGGAGTAGTTTTTGCTCTTCTTGTCCTGTGGCTTGCTGTTCTCGAGGTCCTGGAGGCCAGTTTGGACAACCAAAGTCATGCCGTCTTTGAGAACGCGGGTGCTCTTCCCACTGAGGAGAAGCGAAGTGTCCTTGTTCTCGACACCAATACCGTAACCGACGTTCTTGGGGAAATGCTTCTCCAACTCGGGCTTCTTCGATTTTAGAAGGGCCAGAGCTTTTCCGTAGACGTCCTTGGCAACTACACCGTCCTTGATGGTCTTGATGACCAGGTCGTGAACGGCCAATAGCAGTTTGTAGGTGGTTTCCTGCTCCTTGTTCGGTCCAACCATGTACGTGCGACCGACCATGGCACCGTATGTCTGGTAGCGCAGTCCGAGGACTGATATGATGACGCCGGCATGTAGGTTGTTCTCGTCGGGTTCAGCAGCAAATTTGAGATCATATGCGCCACCACTCTGAATGGTAGGCTGCAAACACCAATCCAGCTGCAGTGCGTCGAACGACTTGGAGACTTTTTGCTTTTCGAAAAACTTTGTGTCGTCAATTTTGTTGGAGACCTTGTCGGCGAGTGCGCGGTGCGAGATCTTCTTCTCGGTATCGAGAATGTCGGACATTTCTTCGACAAAGTAGTTTGTCATGAGGGCGCTGGAAGCACGGGCGGCGTCGCGGATAGTGCGCTGAAGAGTTAGCTATGCGCAAAGCTTGAAAGCCGTAAAACTTACCAACTCTTTCTCGTCCTTTACCGACAAAGCGGCGTTGGACAGGATAGGGGCCAACTCGATCTGATCTTCGTCCTTGAAGCCAGCCTCGTCAAAGGCAGCCTTCCACTCGTTCGCAAAGGCATTGTTTGCGTTGTCCTTTTTCAAGATGGCCACCTTCTTGCCGGCCTTTTTGATAGTGTCTATGCACGTTTGGAACTGCTTCTTGTTCTCGTCTGCGTCCTTGCCCCGCACCAGAATCTCAACGGGGACCTTGCCACCCTTGAGCGGCTCCAAATAGGCAGCTGCGATGTCTGTATTAGCATATTTCCCCAAATCAGGCAGTCGCGGCTGACTCACCCTTCTTCTTGGTGGTGACGATTTGGACGAGGTCGGGCGTCAGGACGAACAGCGTCGCAGGAAACTCGTAGCCCAGCAGCCATAGCTATGTGGTGTTAGCTCACTGCCACCAAACCCCAATATCAGAATGCGCATTCTTACCTGGAAAGCTGCTGGCTTCTGGTAAATGCCGGGTTCGCTCGCCTTGCCCACCAGAGTGGCGATGGAGCTTGCGCCTTGGAAAACCTGGTCACCCGAGCGCTTGTCGGCCTTCCACTTGGTGACGAGGTTGTTCAGGCGCTCGTGAAACAGCGCTTTGTCAATGACAATGTCGTCGGCCATGGCTGAAGGTGCGCAGGTGGTGACCTTCAGGAGGATGACGGGGGTGTGAAGTGGGTGGGTGATGAGAGAAGGCGACGATGGGAAAAGTCGCGAAGGGCAATGGGCGACGCGAAGGACGCGCTGTTGCTGTAATGCCTGGTCCGAGCGCCTCTTTCAACTCCACAACCGCACTAGTCTTGAAGTGCTGTTTTCCAGCTTTGGCTTTGGAACTTGCGGGTTTGATAAGAGAAGGAGCTTTGGATTTGTTTAGTTTTGCTGTATCGACGTTTCGGATAGCCGTCCCAATTCAGCCACCGCGCTTGTGACCTTTCCACGCGGCGCCTTCACCTCCGTCCGCATCGACCCCCGCCCATGCGCCCGCAATCTTCTCTCACCTCCCATGATATGCGATGACGACCGGCTCCAGTGTCTGCGCTGGAGTCTCTCCCCGTAGCGAAATCCCCAGCAATGACACCATCCCGGAGACCCCGCAGGCCCCCAACAAGGCTCCAGCAACGGGAGTGCAGGCCGCGGGTATGCGAGCCGTGGCTGCGAGAATGGTTGCCTTTTACTTCCGAGCGCCGGTAAAAGCCTTCTTCAGGGGCAGAATCGATTATATGAGTTATGCCAGGGCTATTAACCCTCATATCATGGCGGATGCAAAATGGTCATGGAGAATGACTACCCCCGCAGTGTTGGCGCATGCTATACGAACAGAGGGATGGGGGTTTATACCGAAGCAGGTTCTACCGCCGTTGATGGCGAATACATGGTAGGATATATCTATAGGATGAGTACTGGCATGACCTAACATGCCCAGTATCGGAGCCGTCTTATATACTGCCTATCTCCACAGTCTCTCCGCCCTCCACGAACCCTCCTCCTACCAAACCAAGCGCGTCTACCCGCCACCACCCCCCTCTGTAACATTCACCGCAGGCCTCATAGGCGGCGGCATCCAATCCGTCATCGCCGCCCCTTTTGACGCCCTACAAACCCGTTTCCGCACCGCCGATATCCTTCAAGGCAAGCACAAAACCATGTGGCACTACGCGGGCTACAAGCTCCGCTCCATCGGCATGCAAGGCATCTTCGCCGGGTGGACGCTATCCTTTTTCAAAGACGCCCTCGGCGCCGCCGTCTTCTTCGGCACTTTCGAAACCGTAAAATCCCAAGCCTACCTCGAATACGTCACGCGCTACTACGGCAGTCGCACGCGGGATACTCTGCTTGAAAAGTCGATTCCGTATTTACAAGAAGAATACGACGACCGCCCTGTTATACGCCCGCATTACATGCTCGAGCCCATGTTTTTGTTGCTTGCGGGTGTCTCGGCGTCTATTACCTCGCAGCTGATACAACACCCCTTGACGGAAATCCAAGATGTACATTATCGTCGTCTTGAAGCGTTGGATTATCAGGCTCATCTTGATAATAAACCTTCGCATATCGTTAAACGGTACTATCATGCCTACGAGGAGACGTTTGTACAGTGCAAGCAGCTTGCGAAGCGAGCGGGGGGCTGGCGCAAGTATCTGTATCGCGACTTTTTTATGAGCACGATTAAACAGGTGCCTAGTACTGCGGCGGGACTTATTGTGTTTGAAATTGTGAGACGGAAGTATTCTTTTGAGAATGAGGAGGTTATGATTAATCATGCCGATGCACGGATTTTGTTGACATGAGGGCATAGATTGGATAGAGTTGGTTATTGTGATACCCAGAGACAGAAAGATATAGAAAACTATAGATAGAAAGCAGAAATGTTGTACATAGCAAAGCCCAAATATCTCATCTCCCCCCGTTCTCATTCCCGTCTAACACCCCTCCACCCCTCCACCCCCCAAACCACCCGCCTCCCCAACCCCCACTCACCCCCTCTCAACGCCAAAAACTCCATCATAAACTGCCCCATCATAAACCCCAACACACACCACATTACAAACACCAACACACACCACATTACAAACACCAACTGTCTATTTTGTCGATCCGATAAGATATTCCATGCGTTACTTGAAAGGGGGGCGTGTTCGGATTGTGTGAGTGTGCGCCAGCATCCTTTGATTTCTCTTTTCTCTCTCTTTTCTTTGGTGCTATCGTCTTCGTTGGAGGAGGAGGAGGAGGGTCTGGAGGATTCTTTGTGGGAGGAGGAAGGATGGGCTGGTGAGAGGGAGGAGGAAGGGTGCAAAGGAACACACTCCGGATCCCAAATTATAACCCCAGAAGGTGTATCCGACCTCCCCGGCGGTGGGGTCGAGATAGCCGCTGTGGTGGAATGTGCTTTTGAGTTTTTTGTTGGTGTGGCTAGGGCGAAGGAGATGTCGGAGGGGAGTGTTGGAGCGGCTTTATTGCCATTTTGTTGGCCTGCGTTCTTGGGACATGGTTGCGTTTGTGTTTCTTTCGGATGGCCTTTTGCAGATGTGGGTTTGTCGAGTTTGGTTCTGGTCTTCTCGCCATCCGCTTTGTCGGATTTGGGGTGGTCCTTGTTGTTGGGATTCGTATCCCCGGTATGCCCTTTTCCTTTGCCTTTTCCTAGTGTGGTGATGAGCGGGTCTGAGGGGTGCATTTTTGTGGACTTGGGTTTATGCTGCGTTGATGTTGATGTTGTGGTTTCCGCGTCGTCTTCATCTCCTGCGGTATCATCACCATCATCATCATCCTGTCTCTTATCTCTCCGCCACAGAAGCGACAGCGGCATGACTCTCTTCACCCCAGCATTAGAAGAAGGCTTAAATCGTGCAATCGGTCTACTAGTTGCCATGTGCATCGTCTGTGTGGGTGTACCTGCAGTGCGCATGTAGCTGCCGATATAGTCATACCAAGAGACGGTCAAGGCTGGGTTCCCAAACACAGTCCTCCGGATCCCTCTTCTGGCAGCCCCGTTTTCAGAATCGATGCTATCTGCTGTGGCGAATGGAGCTTCGACGTCTAGATCTACCGTTGCAGTTGCAGCGGCGGAGGACATGTAGTTGTTGATTACATTGTACCAAGAGTTTATGCTTGATACGGTTAGGTGAGGGATTAGGTCAGCTGCGTCTAGGATGTTGGCAGTGGCTGCTATGGTAGAGTCGTTGGAGTCGTCGGTGCTGTTATCGTCTGAGCTGGAGTCCGTGCTTGGGGTTTCTACCGCAGCTTCTTCTGATGGAGCGTCATCAGTTTCTTGAGGTGTGGCAGTGTCTGAATCAATTGACGTAGGAAGTGTCTTCTTTTTCTTGGATGATGTTGATTCAGCAGAAACGTCACTTTCATCTGCTTCCGGGGCTTGAGTCACGGTCGCGGTTGCGTCTGCAGAGGTGGCATCTTCTGAAGAAGCGTCGCCAGCTGCCTGAGTCGTAGAGACATCGGAATCAGCTGATGTAGAAACTTTCTTCTTCCTCCTGGACGAAGTTGACTCAACAGGAACGTCGCTTTCATCAGCTTCCAATGCTGGAGACACAGTCGCGGTTAGGTCTTCAGAGCTGCTTTCTTCGTCGGTGGAGGCATCATCCGCGGATAGAGTTTGTGACGGCAAAGACGAGGAATCTAGGGTCGCTGAAGCATCTTCTATGTCATCATTTGATGAGGAGCTCGGTATGGCGTCACTAGAAGTCTCCGTTGCAGATTCTGAAGTCGTTGATGTTGCATCTGAAGATGTAATAGGATGGATCACTTTCTTCGCAGATGTCGAAGTGTCGGGATCGTCGGAATCCGTAATTGATACTGAGTTATCCGCCATGGCATTTGACAGCGTCGGCGTGGATATATCGGAAGAGTCCGAGTCAGTCGCCGAAGCTGAAGTCTTGAAAGCTTTGAGCTTATGAGACGATGTTGTGCTTTCCAAGGTATCTCCCCTGGAGGAACTCATCGCCGATGCCTCTCTAGATGCTATAGCGGAAGCCGTCAAGCTACCAGATGTATTACTGCTCTTCGGCCCGTCCTTATTCTGCGCTTGCCTACAAAAGCTGGTAGCATCTCTTCTGTGAACTGGTATCTTGACTGCATTCGTAGCATTATACACAGCAAGAAGAAGCTCTTGTATGTCCGTATCATCACCGCCCTGCTTTAGTACGCTATCGCAGAACTCGGACACTGCGATACTAGGCACATAGATCGATATGTAGCCTTCGGAGGCAAGATCGACTCTTAGGTTGTAGAGGTCGGTGCTGCTGTCGTGAGTGGAGTTGGAGTTGAAGTTGACAGTTTTGCCGCGCTTGCGGAGCTGTTCGGTTCTTGCGACTTCAGCATTCCTGCCTGGATGGTATGTAATGTTTGGGGATAGCTTTCGCACTTCGGTGTAAACTATCGTCTTGGTAATCGTGTGTGTCGCAACATCACGACGTGGAACAGCGGCTGCTAGAGCCAAGTTGAAACCTGCAACTTGCCTGCTGAGCAACAAGGTAAGTATGCTTGGATAAAGTTTCATCATCGAAGCCGCACCGCGGTAGATTTTTGGGAAAAAGAAGGAAAGTGGAGTAACCGAGGCTGGAAGAATATTAATAAGAGCTGTATTGATGACCCGCACTTTTGTTGAAGCGTCCAACACTTGAATCACACCTTTAACGGAGAACGTGGCCGCGTATCAATGGCGCCCATGAATTGAGCTGTGAAGAGAGAAGGAAACAAAATCAGAACGAGAATGAAACATCACATCATCCTCTCTACACTTCATCCATAAAGTTTGAGTAGGACGAGGCCTCGTGACCGTGATGGTGTCATGTTGGGTAGTGGTCGAAGTGATCCACACAGTAGTCGTAGAAATCAGGTGTGCTAATCAAATTAGCTGAGCCTCAACATTAGACGCCCTCCCTAGCTGGAAGATGCATTATGCAAGTGCCTAGTAATAAACACTGTCGATGTGTACTTGCTAGTGGTTCGCACGGTTGCTGTGGGCTTCCTCCCAGAGCTTATACTCTCCGTCTCGATTTCCGCCTCCAAAAGGAGGACTGTCGAAAGATCGATGCTTTCAATAGTATCGGTAAAATACCAGTTGCAGTCGCAACAATGAGTGTTCCAGGCTCAGATACCGTTGTCGAGATCTGGACGGTATGTTCAGTCGTGCGAGTCGACGTCACAACCATGACTTCCCAAACTTTCTGATACCGTATGCACTCCATCTTTCCATCGTCCAAGTCAATGAAAATCTTCACTTCCACGTCCGAAGGTGGCTCTCCTGCTGTAAATGACTGCCATGGCGCGAGCCAGAATGTTTTCACACGCTTCACAGACGGCGCAGGCGTGATGAGTGATCCGCTGGTTCTGATGGGTGTCGCTTTCTCCACAGTGAAGCCGCATTTTGTCGAGAATTGATCTCTTGATCACAGGCCGTGACCGGAATCTTTGAACCCAATCCAGTCAGAGTCGTCGCGCAGACAGTCTAGAATTTGAAGTCAATCAATGGTAGGATATTCAATCGTTCCGTATTGCATACCGTTTCAAGCGGCGAATACATGGTCTCGCAGCTGCCAGTGCCTGCAATGGTTGTGATATACTCGGTTGTCCATTCAAGTACGGCGGTCTGTCATCGGAATGGCTCAATAATGACAGATGACTCTTTCGATATTCTAGAGTGGTGGAAGACGAACGACCTGGCTTTGCGCAGTAATCTCGACGGGAGATGCACTTGGAGATGGATATAAGGTGCTATAGACGGAGTGCGTCGAAGTTGACGAGGCACATGATTCTGTAGTGGTATAGTTGACAGTTACTGGTGCAACAACAAATGCTGGCATTGTTTGCGTGAAGTTCAGGACCCTGTGGGAAAGACCATTGTGGAATCTTGCGACTGCGTATCGCAAGTTCAGTAGGATAAATAGCGTGCGAATCATTTTGGCGAGTTCGATCGAACCTCAAGCTCTGTAACGTTCAAATGAGACGGGACGTTGGGGAAAGATATATTGACGCGATTTCGCGTGGAATGAACACACATGCTAACGTGTCTTCCCTCCCTTGCTGGCCAAGAGATCCAGCTCCTCAGGACAAATTTGGTGTCACGATACATTTTGAATTACCTATTGCCAGATATGATTGGCGAATTCGGTACATACCAACATTTGATGCTGCTGTGAAAGTCAGGGCAATGGTAACGTTAAATTGGTATGTCTAGGTAGGTACTAGTTACTACTACCACGACTGTGTCTAATTTCAGAATTTCAACTGCCTGTAATAATTTACCTGTTCATAATGCGTTCTTTGCCTTTGAACAGAAGTGCATAGATGTAATGGAAATTCACATTGAGGCGGACGCGACTTCGAGATTGAGTGCGATGCGAAAAGTCGGTGTGGCGTCAACGAGAAGGAGGCAGGAGGAAGATAACAGGATTAGTCAGCCGGCTTGGCGCGTTATTGACGCGGCCTGGATCAATCCGCTGTTGCACCCTTTCAACCATTCCACCACAAGGCGACACGAACCAGTTGCGCGAGTCATCCCAAAGTCATCAACTTCTGTAATAGTATCCTCTATGATAAGGATAAACATGGAAGAACAACGAACGAGGCCAGATTACCTAGGTAGTTGCTCATGATGACCAAGAGACAACACGAGGGCACACCCCTCACTCGCCTCCGATATAAATGCCGAACCCAGCCATATACGTGTTAATGTGTAGTCAGATATAGTTCTCGCTCAAATCAAGTTGACTCACTCTTACTCCACATACCCAATTCCTCTTCACATGCTCTCCACCCTCCAGTGCAACTTACAATGGCCTCCTCACCGCCTATAAAGCTTGCAGTCCTCGACGACTACCACAACATAGCCGCACGTCACTTTGCCCATATTGACCGCTCGAAAATATCCGTCACCGTTTTCAACGACACACTACCGTCTTACTCGCACCCCGAAACCACCGATGCCTCGCGTTCAGCCCTCGTCGCGCGCCTCCAGCCCTTCACCGTACTCTCCACAATGCGCGAACGTACACCCTTTCCAGCCGCCCTACTCCGGCGACTTCCCAACCTAAAAGTTGTCCTTGGAACAGGCGGAAAGTTTGAAAGCTGGGACTTGGATACGATGCGCTTAATGGGCATCAAAGTATGCGCAGCACCCGGTAAGGGTCGCACAGATGGAAAGGGAAGTGCGCAGTCACTCCGGTCTCTGCCTGTAAAGCAAGGCGGTGGACATCCCACAACCCAACATGTCTGGGCCCTTATCCTCGGCCTTGCGCGCAACATCGCCGCCGACGACGCTGTCGTAAAAGGAAAAGGTAGACCAGCTGGTTGGCAAACCGAACTCGCCATGGGTCTACAAGGTAAAACTCTCGGTCTTGTAGGACTTGGGCGCATAGGCGCACACGTTGCGCGCGTCGCAGTACTCGCATTCGGCATGAAAGTGATATGCTGGAGTACGAATCTCACCCAAGCCAGCGCCGACGCTCTAGCCCATGAAGTGGGTGTGCCTGTTATCGGTGGTGGGATAGCATCCCCGTCGGAAAAAACGTTCAAAGTAGTTACAAAGAAAGAGCTATTCAGTACTTCGGATGTAGTAAGCATAAATTACGTGCTTAGCTCGCGTTCGCTTGGTATCATAGGCGCACAGGAGCTGAAGGCTATGAAGCCGTCTGCCCTTTTGATCAACACGTCTCGTGGCCCGCTCATCGACGAAGCGGCGTTGCTGGATACTTTGAGGAAGGGACGTATACGGGGCGCTGCGATTGATGTCTTTGATATCGAACCGCTTCCTGCAGATAGTCCTTGGCGTACGGAGAACTGGGATGAGAAAGGAAAGAGTAGGGTGCTGCTTACGCCGCATATGGGATACGTGGAGGAGGGAACGATGACAGCGTGGTATGAGGAGACGGCGGAGAACGTGGAGAGATTGGTTGAGGGGAGGGAGCTTTTACACAGGATTGTGTAATTGATGTCAATGATATCGGATACGTTTATGGTAATAGAATGTCTGGGTTACTCCATTTATCCAGCACTACAGGGTTCGAGCAGGCCGAGATGGTGCCGTAAGCTGAGCGCTAGGTCTTGCGTGCGGCGTGCGGCTGAGATGGCAGAACCAGTGACTTCCGAGGTCGTTTATCCTTGTAGCCCCACGTGTACGCTCATTATTTGCTAGATACGAAACTTTAATACAAATGTAGTTCTACTGGTCCGGCTTTACTAGACTCTCGTCTTTACAACAGCTTTTCAGTGAGAACACCAATAATCATACTCTGTGTACATTTTCGCGGTTCATATCCCCCAGCAATTTCAAAGTCAGAATGCGTATATACCTATGCCAGGTTCGTGAACGAACAGACGGATCGCTGTATATCGAACGTAACCGCGAGGCTTCAACTGAACATGACTACATCGCCATCTCCCACGTCTGGGGCTCTCCCGACACCATCCAGGCAGTCAAAGTCGACGGAATAGACGAACCAGTTTCCCTCAGCCCAGGGAAATTCGACATCCTAACAATCCTCCGCCGTCCCGATGTATGCGGAGATACCTGGTTCTGGATGGACCTCTTCTGTCTGGATCAAACCCCAAACGCCACCATACCCATGAGTGATCAACTGGCCTCAATTCCCACAATCTATAAGCGCAGTCGTTGCGTCAAGGTCCTCATCGAGTCCCCCATATGTCGCGATTGGACAGCAACGGTAGCACAAGCAGATACACGCCAGACAGACCCAGATACATTTGAAGAACTTGAGCTGCATCATGCGAGAAAGTGCAGACTCATGTTATTTGCAGACCCTTGGTTTGACAGACTGTGGACGAGACAGGAGGGGCTGTACGCGATGAAATTGCAGACTGTACTGCTTAATCTGAAAGACTGCCCACGATATAGAACCAATCTAGGCGACATCGACAAATGGGTGTCGGAAGGGGAAAACGCTGATCAGAGAGAGGCTGTGTACACTTTCTTGTACGATAAACTGCAATATCATGGTAACATCAAACCGGACAGTGGAACGAAATTCCAGGCATATCTGGATCTGGCGTACAGAGGCGAACTAGACATGAAAAACTATCAAACCATCTCGGCTGGGGAAAAGTCGCTGTACTCGCCAATCGACAGCGCTTGGAGGAGTGGGAGGACGACGACGAAAGCCCGAGACTATGTCCTCGCTGTATTTCCTGATCTGGAAGGATATACCGTCCCGACTGATGCAAGGAAGCTTTCCTTTGCAGAATTACTAGAGGATGCACTACAACAACTCCAGCATTCGAAACATTCAGCCAAGGCAGCAGCGAAAGTTACCAAAGGAACTGTGGAAACAAATGACATAGCTGATACCTCTATACAGCCCTTCATCCCCGCCACTCCAGCCAACATCACAGAAGCCTACGACACATTCCACCTCCTCAAGCGCCTCCCCGCCCTCGACCCCACACCCCAAAAACCCCTAACCTGCTCTGGCGAAAACCTGCACGTTATCGCCCAAAACCTCACCCTCACCACCACCATCCCCCTCACTAAACCCAACCTCGCCGATCTCGTAGCTCTCTGGGAGTCCTCGGCAAACATAACCAGCCAGCTCCTCGCGTGTCCGCAATCCAGCCCCGCCACCGCAACGCGGGTCTTGAAATCCGAACAAGACCTCTGTTACCGCAGTTTCGCCCTCAGCTTCTGCCAGTCGACAGTGCGGAAATGGGCGGTTGAGAAGAACCTGCCGCATGGGTTTGTCCACGGCGTTGTTGATGCTGATAAATTGACGGGCGTTACGGAGCAGCAGTATGGGGTTTATCTAGCGAGGTTTATGGTTTGTCTCATGTGTGGGGTTTCGTTGAGGAATGCGGTGGGGATGTTGGAGAGGTGCGAGTTTAGGGTGCTTGTTACGGAGGAGGGGGGGCGGGTGCTTGCTTTGGTTAACAAGGGGGTTTTGGAAGATGGTGGTGCTAGGGGGTTGGTGTTATTGAGTAGGGGGATGTCGGATGTGGAGGGGTTGCATGTTGGTGTTGAGAGGGAAGGTGGGTGCGTTGTGGTGGTGGGGAGGACGTGGATACCCAAGGAAGGGATTTTTGAAATGTGAAATGGTTGTGGTTGTGTGTTATACGATATTTTCATTCACGAGTATTGGTATTTTTTAGGTAATCACATGTACGTCTCGGTAGATATATCTAAATCACCTTTGTGACGTTCATCGCCTTGGTCCACGGCTTCCAGTACTCTTCGATACCGCGATCGTAGTTCCAGCCTGACCAGTCGTAGTTGGTCATACCCCATGTGTCGGGGAATCCTTGGATTCCTGATCTGATTCTGTATGAACCAGCAATAGCCCACATCATCCAGCTGACGTCGTTCTCAATGGTGTACTCTCTCAGGCAGTTTTGAAGAGTATCGTTGAAGAGTGTCTCGTCCTGGGCAGTACCGAACTCGCTGAGAATGACTGGCGTCTCACGTACAGCCTTGGGGCAGTCGTTTGTGATATTGCATGCTTCTGGCGCGTCGATGCCTAGGGCATTGAAGCCGTTGCGGTAGAGACTCGCCTTGACAATGTCGCATCTGTCGGTATCGACATCCTCGCTCATCTTGTACAAATGAAGTTCCCAAACTAGCTTGTCGGCCCAAGCGTGGTCATCGACGTTGAAGTAGACTGGCTCAAGCCTGGCAGCATTGCGGATGGCGGTGCACTTGTAGCACGGGGCACTAAGAATGTTCTTGCCGCTCGTCAAAGCTGAGAGATCTTGTCCGTATTGCATTCCTGACCAGAGGATGAGGATATCGGGGTTGGCCTCATGAATAGCGTCCGCGCCAGCTGTCATGTTGCCCACAAGTGTCTGCCAGTTGTAGTTCAAGTCGGTAACATTGTATGAGTCGCGAAGTTCGTTGCGAAGAGACATGCTAGCAATGTTCGGGTGGTCTTTTGCCCAATTCGCAACGTAGGAAAGACCTCGACGCCAATGTGTGGCGTTGAAGAAAAGATCATCGAACCAGGCGGCGCCGTCGTAGTGCGAGCAGCACCATTGCGCCTTTCCAGTATGCACATCTGGGCTGATGTAGATGCCCTTTGTAGCGGCGATACGTGCGATATCGCCCCAAATCTCGAATCGAGTGGTCTGTGATGTCCAACCGGGATTCTTTGCTACGATCTCGTTGGTCACCTTGGTACCGTTGACGTATCCAAGCGCGTTGATCAATGCAACCTCTAGAGGTACATCCTGTCCATTTCGATCGTATATCTGATCGATCATTTCAATGGCATAACCCATGCGGATGTAGTTGAAGCCGACACCGGCAATATCAGAAAGGATTTCTTCTGCAGATGCCCATTCAAGACCCTCGGGAATCATGGTTTCGCCTACAACGTGTGAGTGCAAATATGACCTGATTGGCCTGGACTACATACCACTCATGGGCCAGTTGACACCTGCCCAAGTTATCTTCTCGCCCTTGCTGTTAACAATATCCCTCCCCCGTGTGCTGTAAGGGCCATTGAACGACGATGTGTTATTGGTAGCCTGTCTGCGCGCATTGTATTGAAAAGAAGCTACACTTGGTACCTCTGGTAGATAGCTGGCCAGAGCAACAGCTCCAGACAGGGCCGAAGTGAGCAAAAGACTTGGTCCCAACATATTCAAGATGGGGTGGCAGAGAGACGCTACACAACAGTCTGACATTCACATGGTTGGGTCTTTATACTCCTCGGTACCTACGTACCAAGCACAACCGTGAACCCGGCCGAAATATTCAGAGCCGTTGCGGAGGTTGGTACAAAACTTGTGACGCTGCCCTCATCTATTGGCCCCAGAATGTGTAGTTCCTCGCGCGATGCCGTCTACCGTCTAGCGGGTCGGGCTATTTGCTAAATCCATGTGGAATGCCGCTAATCATGGTTACTTTGCGGGGTGTCGGATCAAAGATGGCCGAGTGCTAGCAGGTCAGTTTATCCGGTCACTTCTCCGTGTGAACGGCCTGAGCGCCAAGATGTTTTCTACTGCCTATGGCAAGAAGCGGATAATTCCCATTCAATAAGCGTAGAATCCCATACGTTTTGCGCGACAAAAGTAGGAAATAATGCTGGGTCGTCGCAGTGTCATATTGTTCTCGAAGGAAGAATGACTGGGATGAAGTCCCGTAGCCCTGTTCGTTGTTGGAGCAAGGTCTACCTCCACATTGCGGGGGAAATACGATAGTCTGGAACTTGGCGAGCAAAGCTTCCCACAACCGCATCGGAAGTCCTACGCCTTTTGGATGGCAAGCCGGTACAGCGACTCGCATACAGAGGTTTTAGAGTTAGTTTGTATTAGCGGGTGACTTACACGAGTCATCAGGGCCTGACGTAAGAGCTTTCCGAAAGTACCTCCTAAGCTCCATCCTGGCCGCACGTGATACGCGGTTCTAGCGCGTTTTTCGCGTTCTACCCTACACATCCGACCAAGCCCGAACAGGACACCCGTGGACGACACATCCACGAAAGACCATGGAGGCTCTGCTCGAGGGCCTCAATGAGGCACAAAAGAGTGCAGTCACAAGCCCTGCAAACGTCGTGCAGGTTCTTGCGCCACCTGGTTCAGGCAAAACGAAAACACTCACAGCACGCGTCGCGTACCACATCAACCATGAGCGATTGCAGCCATGGAACATTATCGTGTGCACCTTTACCATCAAGGCGGCACGAGAAATGAAAGAGAGGATCAAGGGCTTTGTTGGGGACAAGTTGGAGGCCAAGTTGATCTTGGGCACCTTCCACTCGGTCGCGCGTCGCTTCCTGTATCGCTATGGTCAAGAGATTGGAATTGACAAGAATTTTGGAATCGCCGATACCAGCGATAGCACATCCATATTGAAGCGTATCATCACACGCTACCAGTATACTGTTGAGCCCGGCCATGCTCGTTCCCGGATATCCAAATTGAAAGCAAAGGGCATCACGGCTGATGACAACACACGGACGGCCAAGAACGTCAACGAAAATGAATTTGCCATGGTTTATTCTTCTTACCAGGAGCATCTGGCGGCGTCGAATCTTCTTGACTATGACGACCTCCTGATGCGTTGCGTGGACCTCTTGAAGAAGTCGCCATCGTGTGTCTCGACGATACAAGCTGTCCTCATCGACGAGTACCAGGATACCAACAACATCCAGTACGAGTTGATGAGTTTATTGGCTCAAAAGACGAAACGTATCACCATCGTTGGTGACCCGGACCAGAGTATTTACAGCTTCCGCTCTGCTGAGATAAAGAATTTGCTTCGGATGCGTACCGATTACCCAGAGTCGGTGGTGATCAACCTAGAAAACAACTATCGGTCCTCGGGATGTATCCTCAGCTCAGCCATGGCTGTGATTGAGCAGGATGAATCCCGGCCTCAGAAAGCGCTGGTCGCAACACACGGTATAGGCGAACAACCCACCCTTCGCCATCTGATATCGGCGAATGTAGAAGCAAGATGGATAGTGGAGGAAATACACCGGACCAAGACGCTCACAGCTGGACTGCTGAGCTTCAACGATTACGCCATTTTGGTCCGCTCTTCTCCCCTTACTCTGCAAATTGAAAGAGCGCTCGGGCAAGCAGGCATTCCCTATCGCATGGTCGCCGGTACCAAGTTCTTTGATCGCGCGGAGATTAAGATTATACTGGACTATCTTCGTGTGATCAGTCAGCCGGACCACAACGACGCCGTAGCGCGTGTCATCAATGTACCGTCTCGGAAAGTCGGCGACGTGACAGTAAAGGCTCTGCTTGAGGAAGCAGAAGTAAGAAAGGTCACTTTGTGGAAGTTGGTGCTCGATGTGGCACAAGGCCGGAGGAAGCCCCAATGTAAAGTGTCCGCGCAGGCCAATATAGGCATTTCGCAGTTTGTCAACGTCATCCTCACATCCCGTGAGAAGCTTCTGCCTGCCAAGAGCGACGAGTGCGATCTCTTTGGGTTGATAATGCACGTGCTGAATAAGATTGCATTCCAATCTTATCTCAAGCAGGCACACAAGGAGAACTGGCAAGATCGATGGGCAAACGTCGAGGAGCTGATAAATCAGGCAACCCAGATGGCAACCGCCGTCGCCAATGGTGAGGAGATATCAGACGACGCCTTACCAGAGGTGGAGGGCCTCGAACAGCGGAGTGATACCGCGGCTGACCTCTTGTCGAAGTTTTTGGCCAATGTAACACTGTCGAGTGCTGCGGATCAAGACGGTAGCGAACTAGACCAAGTCACCATCTCCACCATTCACGCAGCAAAGGGGTTGGAGTGGCCTGTCGTCTTCATGCCCGCCGTATACGATGGATCTATCCCACACTCCCGCGCCGAAGATCAAGACGAGGAACGGCGTTTATTATACGTCGGCATGACGCGTGCACAGGGTCTGTTATACTTGAGTTGTCCAGTCAAGCAGTCCGGCCAAGAGCAAACGACGCTATCAAGGTTCATTTCCGACCGCAAGATCCAAAAGCTCTTCAACGAACGAGGACCAGATCTAGCCTTCAAACGAAGCACCATCCCAGACCTAGCACGTATACTACGCAGAAACTGCCCTACAACCGCAGACATCGACGCAGCCCGCAATCTCCTCGACCGACCCGAAGACGACAAATACCCAGCAACACGCGAAGAACTCGACGGAGACGACTCAACATACGGCGCCCCCTGGGACAACAATAACAACCACAAGAACCCCGGAACCACCTACGGAGCCTCAAAGAAGCGTAAACTAAACAACCCTACCTCATCCACCACAGCCGTTCATTCAGTCCCAACAACCATGACCCGCACAGCAGGCTTCTCCACCGCCTCAACAACAATGCAAGCCATCAAACCCGGCTTCACCAGCGCCCTCGACCTAGGTAACCTGCAAGCCATGCAACGAGAAGCCGAACGCATCCGCATGCTCGCCGCCACCTCACCCCCCTCACCCCCCTCACCCCCCTCGAAAAAACCAGAACCAGCAAAGCCCCCTCGCGCTAAACCGAACAAACCCCGTCCTACAGGCCAAGGCGCAATAACCAATTTTTTCAAACGTACGGCTTCGGCTGAGGAAGATGCTGATTCATCGGCAGCACCGACAGTACCGTCGTTCCACCGCTCTTCTTCCTCTTCATCAGCACAGCCTTTACACGATATATCAAACGTCCAACCCACGACAACGATACAGCCGCGCCCCTTCCACCCCCTGTCCTTGCCAAAACATAAAGTCACCGCGCAACCTATCCTCGCTAAGCCGAAGAGAAAAGAGGCTGAGAGTGAGGGTGCGAGGACGAGGTATGTGCTTTTATCTAGTTCGCCAGTGAAACCTGATGAGGTTGACAAGGAGGTGGATACGGGGCCGGAGAGTCCTACTAAGGGGTCTGGGTCGGGATTTCGTCCAGCGTCAACATTTCACACGACGTCCATGGCACAAGTGCAGACGACACAGAGGAAGACGCTAGGCGCGAGGAGGACTATGCAGCCGTGGAGTGTGAAGCATAATTCCATGCCCAAGCCACGGCCCTCGTGATGGGCGCGAATTGGGGGTTTTGGCTGGGTGTTTAAGGATTGCATGGATTGGCGTTTTGTTGGTACTAAAGCTCATGATATTATTTGTCATGTCAACTCATTATTTCCACGCTTACGCCATCGTTGGGCAGAAATACATTCCCCACATATACATATATAGTCGAACCTACAGCACCGCAAAGGCACTGCAATAAGACACACTACTATCCTTGACCTCCTCCACCAAACTACTCCTTTCATAGCGCAGAAACTTGAACTTTCCACTTCCTTCGCCTAAACCCTCTGCGCGCTCCACGGCAGCCATGAAGAGGCCGATAGGATGTCGACCACACACTGTATTACCCGTTTTCCTGAGCTGATCCAGGAACTGCCGGTGTGACCCGCTCTCCACTGCATCCATGCTTTCCTGGTCGACAGCTGCGATACTCTCGTGTATGGGATAGTCACTCGGTACGCGCGAGCTGGTCCTCAACTGCGTGGCGGCTGATCCATTAGCGGGTTGGTAGTAGGTGTAGCGGAAGCGGGAGCCCCAGTGGCAAAAGTCAGACGAGATGACGAAGATGTTTGCGGGGTCGGAGAGGTAGGGCGCGAGGAGGGAGCCGTAGTGGACTTCAGCGGCTGCGTCGGTGTTTCCTACCATGATGGGGATGAGGGGGACGGATGTTGTGTCGTTTTGGAAGCTCGCGTTCTTTAGCGATAGCATCTTGTAGATGTAGGGTAGATGCATCTCCAAACTGTGTTCATCCTCGTCTGTTCTTTTTGACATGGTTTCTAGGTCCCATTCTGTCTGTATCTCCTGTACTAGTTCTGTGTCTATGGTGAGATCGCCGAGAGGGGTGCGGTACTTGTCGCAGCCGGTTATTGCGGCGCCGGTGAGATAGTAGTGGTGGGAGGGTCCTAGCAAGAAGACGCGCTTACTATGCTGTTTAGCACGATTTCGTCACGCCCTTCACTCTGTCGGAGACGTACGCATTTGCCCAGTCGGCGCTCTTGTAGGCCCAGGCAGCTGCAGGCCCAGAGTATGAGAAGCCGGCATGCCTGCATGTCTATGAGCCTAAAGTCCTCTCTACAGCGGTTTCATGATGCATACGGGGCAATGATGGCTCGTGCATTTGGTGTTGGTATCGTGACTTCGCCTTGCTGTGAAGAGGCAGTGCCGATGGGTGTGGTGGAATTGGGTACAGCTTCAAGCCAGCCATCAAGCTGCTGAGAGAGAAGCTGCCCGTTATCCGTGTACCAGGAGCCGGCGTGAGAGGCTGATCGAGTAACCATGGCAAGGAGAAGGTACTCAAGTTGGTGTTTGGTAAACAAGCTGTAGTTGATGGTGGTGAGCGGGATTGCGGGGCAGGACCTCCACGCTTCATGCAACCGACGTAATGCCTCCGACGGCAGTCACGACCGCCATTATAGCAGGTGCATTTCAAAGTGACTCCAGTACTGCCTGACTAATACGACTTCTAAATATGCGCCTGGCTTTCCAATATTACAACGGAAATGGCCATGATTGGAATGTGGGCAGGAGTAGGTTTGAGCGCCTGCCCTCACTAACTTAACTAGTAGTTAACTACTTACGCGACGCGCTCGCGCTCGCCCTGCGCGTCACCCTGTACATCATCAACCCCATGTGATTTCGTCGCCCCCAACTTCTGCACACTGCACTGCATCTTTCCCTGCTCTTGTCCCAGTAACCTCTTCTCACAACTCCCGACTAGATAGCATCGCAATCATGGGCTTCAAACGTAAACATTCGACCGAAGACTCATCCCTTTCCATCGCCAGCTTCCGCGCCTTCTCCATATCCGACACACCATGCATCCCACAGTACGACCCATACTTTGAAGTGAGTTCGCGGTCAAATGCCTGGGATTTCAGTTGTGCAAGTCGAGTCAAGAGCAGCGATTGGGGCAACCGCACGCGTAAAAGGGTGCGCGATAGCAGGCCTGATGAGCGCGAGGTACATGGTGTGTATTCTCAACGCCCTGAATATGATGAGAGGATATTCGCTAACACCACGCAGAAAACACACTGAACAAACTCTACGCCGCCCAACGCAACCATCTCGACGCCATGCAATGTGACACACCACCAGTCAAAGAATCCGCCACCATACCTACCACCATGCCCGTGTCCAAACCTCAGAAATCAACACTGCATTCCTTCTGGAAACAACTGCCTGCACCGCCCGTCCAGCCCATCTTCTCTGTCCCTGTTCAGCAAGACCAGATTCCTTCACACCTACCCACCTGCGATGACTGCGACACACCGCTGCAAAGTGGAAACGAAAGCATGGACGTGGATATGGATCTGGACATGCGCGGTCCCCTTGAGAGATCCCCTTTCGCCTGCAACGACTGTGGCAAGAATGTCTGTGGCACGTGTGCTGTTGTGTCGACGACAAGGCATTGTCTTCAGTGCGCTACTTCAGGGAGGAACTCGAGGAGGTGGTGGTAGGGGTTGAGTTCGGGTATGAAGGAGTGTTGTTGTAATGGCGTTTAGCGTGGGCATAGCTGGTAGGGCTCGACAGGACAGGGCAGTATGATATCCCCAGCATTTTTAGCAGCGAGGCGCATATGGAGTTATGAAGCATCGTATAGTGGGTAGCCATTGTTATCAGCATATGGGAATTACTTATAGAATCAACGTAATGTTTTGAGCACTGTACTTTGAGAGCCGAAATAATGGAGAAGGTCATCCAGGCTTCTGATGCTGTCCATAAGTCGGTGGACTTACACTAGACTCAGCGAAGGGCCATTTTGGCACCTTGGCTTTGCAAGACCACAAATGCCGTGGATACAGACGCAGAGGTGCAAGGTGCATTGGAGTGTTCCTTCCCATTCATCGTGGACGCAGCCCCGATGAGTTTGGTGGGTGACACCCGCCCCACTCTGCATTTTCGCTTAGCCACCAACTTCCCAATCCAAAATCAACACCTTATAACTCAACATGATTTCCTATATAACTTTGCAAACTTCCATCAAACAAACCAGCGAGCGTAGTCTAGTGGTTATGATGTCTGCTTTACATTGTCCAATGTTCAGCTTCGCAGAAGGTCGGGAGTTCGATCCTCCCCGCTCGTAACATCTCTTTTTGCTAAAATTTCGCAACAAAAAAACTCTTAATCTTTTTTTTTGCTTGCCAAAAATATCAAAATCTTTTTTTCTGGAAATCGGAAGTGTTCGGACCCCTCTTTTTTGACTTTGTGGACGCGGAAGGACGCCCCACTAAGCGTGTGCGACTACATTAGTCTACACGTCATGCTTTCTAGGGCTTAGACGGTAGTCTGACACCTATCACGTATCTTGCCTTTTGGTAGGGGTGATGGATAGGATCGCCAACAATATATTCTACCAACGCCGTAAATTTATCATCATTGCACCCTTCGAGGTATGCATATAGGTTGTGTAGTGTAGGTTACTCCTCCTCTGCATTTAGACTAAAAAAACTAGTCTATGTTATGGTGTGTGATCATGTTCGCTCATTCGATTCTAGGTAGTGGTTATCACTTCAGATTTTGATCTTGTCAATTATTCTGATAACCCCGGTTCGGTAAGTTGATTATGAGATGTGAGGAGGGTGTGAGTTGAGTGGACTGGCGCTGACGATGAGAAGAACCCGGGCACGACCTGTCATTCTTTTTTTTTCGAAGGGGGTGGTTTTTGGTGAGTGGGGAGGATTGCACTCATTTCGATTTTGGGGCGGGGGAGAAGGGGAAGGGAGGAGAGGTGCGATGGTGGGGTTGTTTTAGGTTGCTATACTAGACGTCGCATGGATGATGTGAATAGGAGGATATTACTTGCATGTTATTTGATGCTGTGCTTCCTATACCCGGTGGTCGGGTTGCTCCTGCTGAACGCGGGTGATGTGTCAGCTGATGCAGGCGCGCTAGTGGTGCGCTTATCGGCGAGGATGCGGAGATGCATCTTTCGACGCTCTCTTTTTGTTTGTGAATTGTTTCGAATTTAATCTTTTCGGTGAGTTTGTCCAGTCTTCAACGAACCGGCAGTCGTGCGTGATCATGGTGTCGGTGCGGTATCTTCCTTTTACGTCGCTCCTGCCAAATATGTGCTGGCACAACTTTTCGTAATTCCGTCAAACTCGCTTGCGCTGAACAACGAGAATGGGAACACAATTATCGTCAATCGAGACTTGTCGGCTGTATCCATGGAATGTGAGACCAGGTCCTTGTTCTAGGTCGTAGTTGCAAACCTGGTATTGGATTCATCGCTGGCAGCCGCCGCCGCTGTAGAAGGTATGATGCTTGTCATCGTGTCTTTCCTAGCAAGAGGTGATTGTCGATGGATTTTTTCTACGCTAGGCAGCAGCCAAAAGGTGGGGTAATGGAGGTGAGTGTGAGTGAGGCGACAAGGCAGCAGTTAGCTAGTGTGTGATTTGGACGTATCTGGGCAACGCACGGCAGCAGTTGAAGAGCAAGAGATCAGATACCAATTACGGAATGCCCGAGAACAGTTGCTTTGCGGGGGCGATAGAGCTGTGCTACTTGGGTAGTCAGGAAGCAATAGAGGAGCGGTAGGCTAGGCACAGACCAAGAGCAAACAGAGAGCGGGAGTGAAGCGTGGAATCATACAGAAGCAAGCTAGTGCGGGCGCATAGCAAGGGCGCATAGGAAGCAATCTTTCACTTGCTCGACAAATTCTCGTTTACACCACTACACCCACGACACTGAGCCACACGCAGCGACACTGCGACCAGATATGACCATAGACATCGACCAGGAGGTTGGGCGGTTTGCAGCCCTCAAGAAGAAGCAAATGCAGGACTTGATGAAGGAGAAGAACAAGGACATTGCCGCGTTCAAGGATCGCATGAGGACCGCAGGCAACGTGACGGACCTTGTCAATGTCTACCGTCGGTATCTCGAAAGTCAAGGACCGGAAGAGGAGGTAAATGATTACCACAGTGCACCACATAGATGCTAGCTCCGTATCATACTAACAACAATAGGGCGACGACTCGAACGCGGACGATGACGTGGGCGAATCCTCAAAACCCGCGGCACCCAGACATTCACGCACTACCCGCGCCTCTGCAGCTGCAGCTACTACCACCGCCATAGACGCAGCAACCGATAACGCCGGTGACGAAAGCGAAAGCGAAAACAGCATGTCTGCACAGATCGACGTTGAATCTGAGCGAAGTCTCTCCAGGTCGACCTTTCCCCCAAACGACAAGGTCAACTGGCCAGACAGCTTCTCAGCCAGTGAGCAAGCCACAGTACGTAAGTACTTGAAGAAGTACCTCAGCGACAAGCCACTCCTCTACACCCGGAAAGTCAAGCAAGACGACATTTATGAAGCTGCGCACGATTTGGCAGACGGCTGGCCCTTGCCGTTTGGTAAAGTAACGGCTGTGGCTCAGCTGGCCTTCTTCGACGTCGTGTGCAAGCGGAACTCCTGGAAGTGGCCCTATTTCCCATCCGACGAAGCTGCGACCAACGATGAAGCATCGAGCCAAGGTGAAGATGAGGGTACCGAGGGCGAGGACGCGGAAGAGACTGCGCCGAAGCAGGGCGGCAAAGCCGCAGGAAAGCGTCCCCGAGAGACGGCGGGTAGTGATGAGGATGGTGATGATGATGAAGACAAGCCGGTCGCAAAGGCGAGTCGTATTTCGCGTGGGGATGGTACTGAGGAGCCACGTGGCAGAGCGCGCATCGGTCACAAAGCCACATCTGCGAGTTCGGGTGTCAATGGATCACGGAAGCACAGCTCGACCAAGATTGCGGCTATGGATGAGCTGTCGGCAGTAGAAGAAGATGAGGAAGATGAGGAAGATGAGAACACGTAGGCATAGTACCCACGTATCCGCTTGGGTTGTGCACGACTGGAGCGTTTGGCGGGTTTGAGTTTACGGTATTTGTCCGACGGACCTACGAAGGTTGATATACCACGATGTGTAACTGCACGTAATAATGAGTATACCTCGAAATGTAATGAGAAGATTAAAAGTCGTGTTTGCTACAGGAGACGTGAGATAGAGTGGATTTTTAGTCACAGTCGAAATATAAGTCAACAAAAAGGTTCTGTCAGGATGTAGGTAGATGCACACCCGTGGTGGACAAACCCCCTCTACAGCAAGAAGCGCCAAAATAACAAAGCTTCCTCTCTCAGGACATCAGATACATGATTGTATGTTCTAGACCATATCCAACCTGCGTTGTCCGACTGCTTTTCTTGATGTATCAAGCTTTTCCCAAAGGATCGTGCTGCTGAATGGCTCTTGTTATCATGGTTGCCGGAAGTGAAGAAATAGTTACATGAAAACTCAGGACAGGTAAGTGCGGAGTAGGTTTCTTTGATGTCGCTCAAGGATACACAGTGCTAATATTACTTGTTTGACCAATTTGTTGTTGATAAATAACAGCCATCTACCGCATGAAGAAGCTGTACTCAGATAAGCATATATATAAATACTTGAAAAGACTACACGGAAATAAGTGCATAATAAAGCCCACCTGAACAGCCAGAAAGTGTTTAGGAAGCGCAAGACTGTGGCGAGACCTGCTTCACGGACCCTCCAGGCACTACCTAACGGTAACAAAAGGATATCTCTCTAGAATTATAACCGCAATTAAGCCTCCAAGAACTATATACAAAACTGTGAATACAAACGCCCTGACTATCACTTCTTCGAGGTCCCACCGACTTGATTTATTTACAGCCGACCTTCAGATCCATGGCATACAAAGCGTGGCTATCAGCATTGGAAGCAGCATAATCCGGGCTGAGTTTCTGAGACTTGGCCGTGCCATACGCATAGTCGCTACATATGGGCCAGTACACAAGGCCCATGTGCGTCATTTCATGGATGATAACGCCAGCGCGGCTTTGCGACGTGAATCCATTGCATGAGTATCGAATAGCAGGGAGGTCAAAGAAAGCGGGACAGAAGACAATAGCCTCTTCCTTGTCTCGAGCAAAGGCCGCCACGCCTTTGGTGTTGCATCTACCGGCGCCGCCAAAGGGATCCCTGCAGTAGAGCACAGCATCGAGCACGCCGAGACTAGTACAATGATCGCCGATGGCTTGGAGGCGGCCCTGAACCTCGGCCCAGTCCATTTTGTAAAAGTACTTCAAATAGAGACCCGTCACACCGTCCTTGGCGTCCTTGGCAGCGGCATGTGCAAAGGTTGTGCAATCTTTAAGGGACTCTCTTAATGTTTCCAACTCTTTTCCCTCGCATGTCGGACTGATGTTGACCCGCTTTGTGATCTTTGCCGATAGGAAGTTTTTGAAGATGGTTGTCGCTTCAGCCTGGTCGATGTCGACAGAGAGAGTATTACTCATGTACTCGAAGCTGCCTTGGATATCTGTCGAATTAAGTGGTGCGTAGTAGAATTGTCCCTTTGCGACGATTTCCTGGACCGAAGTAGTCGTGTTGTGGACCCAGTAACCCTCGGCCACGTCTACCACGACTTCTCGCGTCTGTCCTGCGAAGAGGGGAAAGAAACTCTCCTCATCGAGTTGATCGTAGAGGTATGTGACTGAGAAGCCGGTAAAGTTGACGCTAGTGCCCTCGTTCGTGATAGTCAACTTGTGGACATGGTCGTCATCCAGGAGGGTGTTGACTTTGACTAGATTGTATCCAGTGTCCTGGTTTTTGTTGGTTATAGTGACCTTGATTTGCGAGTTGCCGACAGAGGAGAGTTTGAAGTTGATGGGAGACTCCTGTGTCGCTTGCCTCGTCAAGGGGGAAGTAGCTGCCATCGTACTAGCTGCTATAGCCACTAGGAAAGCGTAGAGGCTTTTCATTGTAACTGTAGTTGGAAAGGCGTACGAGTACGGAGGTGCCTTTCAAAAGTTCTGTCCTGCCAAGAATAATTCAGCCGAAGTCTGGCCGCCTCACCCGAGGCCGATCCCTCCCCTCTATATACTCATTACCACCTTACAGCTCAATTATTTTTAGAACATGTACAAGAATTCGCTTAATATAAGCTTAGATTCTCTGCTAAGAGAGATCTCTCCAGCATTTCTGCTAGATCTAGACCGCGTTAGCTCTTAACTAAGGAGCTCCCTTCTTTGTTGTCTCCTTTTTTATGTAGAACTAGCATGGCTCAATACAGTTACAGTCTGGCGAGTTACCACACTAGAGTAGTCTCTAGATATCGTAGAGACGATATACGACGCTCTAGTAGTAGTGAGCATAGGTAGGTGCTTTATCCTCTATTACGACTGTCTAAGGCCTATCTTAGAGACACTCTTTAGCGAAGGGAATTAGCTTTAGAATTAGAACGCAGGTCTAATATCTCTAGTCTACACCACCTCTAGACGTACGCACTAGCTTGCCTATCTTCTCTGTCTATCTCTACTAAGGTTTTCTGCCAGGCTTATTGCGTAGCCCTGTCCTTCTTATAGACTCTAATAGATCCTACTCCTCTCTCTGGGCTTAACAACCTATCGGACAACCCGGGACAACAGTGGCTACTAAGATGCATCAGAGCTGCAAAGAGAATAACGACAAAGAAAGCATCTATCCACCTGCAGTGGGCCCCAGGACACAACGACGTCAAGGGCAACGAAAAAGCCGACACGCTAGCAAAGGAAGCAGCTAAAGAGAGACCAACAACATCGACCATAGCGAGCCTAGCCTACCTAGGCACAGAAATCAACAAAATACAAAAAACAGAACAACTGATGGAGTACAAGAGGTATACCGACAGGCCCACCAAAAACAGAAGCTCCTACTCAAGGATCTTCAAGCTCAACACACATACAACAATCAAAGTCCCGAAGGGAACACCAAGAGAAATCTCGAGCGCGTTCTACTCACTCAAGCTAGGACATGGATACTTCAACTCCTACCTTAAGAGATTCAACAAGAGAGACTGCAATCTATGTATATGCTACAAACCACAAACACCACAGCATCTACTTCTAGATTGCAAACAGTACAAAACACATCGAAATACACTCAAAGAAGCAATACCACACAGACCCATCACCCTCCCACTTCTCCTCCAAACAAAGACAGGCATCAAAGCTACTCTAGCCTTTATTGCAAGTACTGGGATTGGCACGAGAAAATGGCACCTTGGGCAAACCACCGAACAGACAGACACTGTATAAAACTACAAAACAATATTTCCTTATCCCAAAAGAGCCCGCTGCTACATCTCTTTCTATTCACCACACTGCTCTTTAGCACCCGCGCCAATGGAAGACTAGCTCTGAAATTGGAGTACGCAAAACACCACCCAAATTGTACAAGACCCATAGAAACTCCACAACGACCATCATACATAGAACGGCTTAGCCAAAGTCCTACATAGTCACCGACTGATACAGGACTCTAATGGAAATATAATAATAATAATAATACTCCTCTCTCTGTATAGGCTTAAGCTCTACATTTAGCTACTTATCACGGAGCTGGTGCGCAGTGGGACTGAGGTAGAATATGTGTTGTACTGTGAGGAGCGTAAGGCTCCGCGAGGTGAGAGCTATCTAAGTGCTGGACCCTGGGGCTAGCGACAGGTCACGTGCCTCACGTGATGTCCTTCCCAGGCAGGGTCAGTTGTCAGATTAGATGCGATATTGCACAAAAGTGATGGATGTTCATGATTGATTGTATTGTTCTCTGTTCTAAGGTGCGCGCTGAGAGTTTTGTTCTGCTAAGACGCTAACCCATTATTAGCTAGCGGTGTCGGCACTTTCGGCTCGACACGCCTGCTATCTGACACACCCCCTCAGCTTGGAAGGCATATTGCAAGCTGCATAAACTGGTTGATCGATCCTACATAATGAGGCCTTCCAGTTGCTCTTGCACCTCCTTAAGCTCAATCTCTCTGAGCGGGGCTTCTTCGCGCTCGACGAGTCCCAGTTGATCAAGGAACCTGGCCCATTTATTGGCTGGCAGTGGCTTTGTGAACCCGTCTGCGATCATGTTGTCAGACGGCACATACTCTACCTTGATCACCTTTCGGGTAACCTCTTGTCGTAGCCAGTGATTGTGTATATCAACGTGCCGAAGTTTTGTTTGAAGTTTGGCTACGTCCTCTGTGACTAGTCGGATGGTCTGTTGGTGTCAGATAGCAGGGTTACTCGACGTTGGCAGCAACCAATCAGCGTAGAGAGGGTCAGTGCGCCCCTCAAGAGGGCCACAAGCGCGGACACACGATAGACAGAACACAATACACACAATCATCAACATCCATCACTTTTGTGCAATATCTCATTATATCTGACAATTAAGAGTCTCACTGCCTCAATAACGAGCGATAAAACCACGAAAATGGCAACAATCCAGACCCAACGGGACGCGACGGTCATCCTCACCGACTCAAGCAACTGGATCCCTTGGTACCGCCAACTTAAGCTGAAATGCCAGTCGCAAGGCATTTGGCCACTGTTGGACCCCGAAGGAGTGCGACTCCAGCGCATCCAACCGGAGGCTCCGCTACCCCCAGACATTTCGCAGTATGAACCGTCAAGTAGCCCCTCAGCTGCCTCATCGCATACCACCCGAAACGCTAGAGGCAACACGCGAGGATCAGCACAAGACACTACAGAAATGTCGACAACAACCTCACGAATCCCCACTATACCAACGCGAGTGTCAGAACTCTCAGAGAAAGGACAAGAAGCGTATAAGGAGGATCGCGACGACTACAAGCTGCGCCTTGAGTCATACAAAATACGGGAGAGGGACTATCAAGAAGAAAGCAACAAAATCTCAAAGATGGTCGAACACATCCTTACAACCGTAACACCCCATTTACAACTTAGCTGTTGCGCCGAGAACGGCACGCCGCGCGACTGGATAACCGCCCTCCAAGACACAGTTGGAGTGGATGAAGACGAGGAGAGAGCGCGAGCACGAGAGAGATACCAAGCCGCACTCAAGCCAATGCGTTCAACCACAAACTGGGAGACGTGGCTAAATGAATACGATCAGGCTGCAACTCGAGCTGAAACCCTTGAGGTGGCCGAGGTTATGCAAACACAAGCCGTAATAGACGACTTCCTAGGCTCCGTATCTAAAATGGCATCAACCTGGACCGCAGGGTTCCAAGGGCCAGGGTACGATAAGAAAGCCATGAATAGGAAAAGGATGATGAAACTCTTCCGTGAATATATGAGTCTTCAATATCCATCAAGAGGGAAGCCAAAGAGCGCCTTCGCGGTAGGAGACTTATACGCGGCGAGCGGTGAACCCGACTCGGACACACTGAGGGACGCCTCTAGTGTGGAATTAAGAGCGCCATCCAACCAAGGCCGGGGAAACCCTAGGCAATCAAACAAACGCAAGATGGATGGTCAAAGTACCAGAACCAAGCAGATCCCGGAGAGGAATTCAGCGAAAGCTGGAGACATATGTCCTGCCTGTGAACAGCGTCATGAGATATCTGACTGCTACTATGTGAACAAAGCCAAGGCACCTGAATGGTTCAAGCCAAATCGAGGCATCGCAAGATTAGTACAGTACAAACTTGAAAATGACACCAACTTACAGAGAACGATGCAGGAAATGTCCCCAGAGACTAAACGACCTCGATTCTCGACAACGTCACGATCGATTACACCTCATATCAAGACATCACAAACACCGGACGCAGTCATTGAATGACTAGATGGACGCGAAATCTCAAGAATTGATGAGGGCACGATGAAAGCGGCATTCAGCGCAAGCCAACAAGGATATCCATTAAAGGATGCCTTCATCCTGGATTCCGGCTCGACTACGCACATCTGCAACGACCTCTCAAGAATTGAAGACGTACGCCCGTCGACGCCAGGGGACTACATCTGGGCCGGCAGTTCCAAAGTCTGGATACGAGGATACGGAGCTGTCACATTGACAACAGAGGGATCTCAGGACAAACAAGCCTTGCACATTGTCAACGTTGCGTGGTGTCCAGACTTCCTCTGCAGCCTAGTATCATTCAGGCTACTCCGACGACAAGGAATATGGTGGGACAATCGGGAAGATCCAACAAGCCTGCGACGATGGGATGGAACAATTATTGCTATCCTATCGGAACGCCATGGGCAATGGATTATCGAAGACACCACTCCATTCGACTCAGCCTTCCATGTGCGTATGAATCGAACCAAGCGATCACCACAAAGGGCGACAGCCATGCTATGGCATAAACGACTAGGACATCCAGGGCCATCCGCTATTGAACACCTCATACAGCAATCTGAGGGGGTGAGGATCAAAGGAATCACCACAGTACAATGTGACGCCTGCGGCAGATCAAAGTCGAAGCGCCAAATAAGAAGGGCGCTAAGACTAAATGACGAAGGTCCTGGAGAAAGAATTGCAATCGACTTCCATGAGTACGAGGCGGACAGCTTCACTAAGGAAAAGAGTCAGATGCTAATAACTTGCCGAAACTCCCGATACGTTTGGGATTTCTACTTCAAAGACAATAGGCCAGCACGCTCTATTATTCGCCTATTAGCCCTCTTTATCCAATTTATGAAGAAACAGTTCAACATTACGGTCAAGGTCATTGAAACAGACAACGAGATCGTCACAGTTAAGCAAGAAGTCGAGAAATGGTGCACGTCCCTATCAATCAGACTCGAGCCTTCCGCTCCAGACACACAAGCGCAGAACGGAGGAGCCGAACGCTCAGGGGGTGTGATAAAAGAAAAGGCACGCGCAATTCGACTAGATGCGAATCTTCCATGGGAACTCTGGCCAGAGATAACCAGAGCGGCGGTATACCTATACAATCGAACGCCAAATTATCCAAACAAGTGGAAATCGCCTTACGAAATATTCTTCACGCGCGCAGCTGCCA